GTTTTCAAAAATAAAATGACATATGCCAGATAATATTTTGATCAATGTTGTGGTTCAGTTCCGGTTGGTTTGATATGGTTTATCTAGATTGAAAAAACTTTAGAGGGCACATGAAATTTATAATTTTAGCTTTGACCTCATATGATTATAAAATATATAACTATTGACCCTATGATTAATTAATTATATGTTAAGTTTGCTCTGTTTGTTGCCTTTTGGTTGCATTTACATGACAATACTTGCATGCATGTAACTCCATTTTCTAAGGTATCCGATGATGGAAGCAACATGATAAGGAATCTCCGAATAATAAATTAATAATATATTAATTAGGCATGTATTAATTGTTTAGTCGTATCCAATGTTTTAATTAGACATAATACTGTCAGCACAATTATGGTAAAATGGTTTCAAAGAATTTCACCATTGTCAAGAACGAACCTTCAAAAGCTATGATCCAATCGTGGACAACGTCTCGTTGAAGTCTGGTAGAGATCCTAATTCATTGACTCTTGTTTAACCTCTCTCTAGCATCCTCTGCTTCCTCTGTATAGTGTATCCCTTAATTGGGCCTGATCCACCTTCTTTTTTTTTCTCTAATTATGGCTGTGTTTAGGTTCTTATTGATTCTTTGCAACCTTTTTTTGTTCATGATCAAGTTAACCTTTTACCAAAAAAGAAAAAAAAAACATTTATGTAAATTATTTCCAGAGATATAATTTTCCGTAGGCATAATGAAGCCATCTATGTGTATACTGATACTTAAATAATCCCATAAATTTTTTTTTTTTTTTGAGTTCTAAACACGTATCTGGTAGACAATTTCTACGACCATCACATCTACCAACGATTAAAATCATCATGTTTTATACATTCACGAAAATATAGTTTTATGTGTGTAAAATCAATAATATCAAATAGGCTAACCAACTAGTTAATGATTAAGTGCATTCCTAGTTTTTTTGAAAGTTTTTTTCAGTAATCTGCAAAGACCAAAAGCTGTTTTCATATGTTACAAGCTGTGAAGATGTAAGTTTGAAAGTATATTTCAACACTTAATTATCATTGTTACAAAAACAAACACTTAACCATCATTCATCAAACGCAATTATAAGAAACTAAAATAATTGAGAAATACAATATCCTATATCGTAGCTGACGCATTTAATTCATACGGCATGCCGGCAAAAACGTCAACAGAAATTAAATAAAAATAAAAGACAAAATTTCCACCGGCATTAAGCTTTGAAAAAGATTTCCTTTCATAACACATATGATACTACTAATGAAAATAGGAAATAATCAAAGGAATGGTGTCATAGTGATGGGACAAGCTTAGTTCAGATCTATGAGTTATTATTAGGTTAAAGTCAACTCACCGGCTAAGCAACTCGGCTTTTGCCAGCTCTTTTTAAACAATCATGAATCCATGCCCTTGTGTCGTTGCTTCATTTTTCTTTCTTTTTTTGAAGAATATTTTATGGAATTTTTTTATCAAAGAAGAAGACAAGAAGTTACAACAAGTTTCTAGATATGAACAAGGGATATTCTTCCACACTCAGCATTTATTTAGTTTTTTCTATAAAAAAAATCAAAATAAATAAAAGGGGAGTTCTTTAACAAATTCCAATATAATTCTGAGCTATATTGAAAATTATCCATAAAAGAACCAGACCTTTCAACTATTTTAATGAAAACCTATTAGGATCCTCTTTTTATTTTGTTTTTATTAAAATCTAAAACATTTGATCTCATTGTCAATCTCATACGAGTTCTACAATCTCAACTTCTTTCTCTTTCTTTTCTAGTGATATATATGATTAATCTTGTTAAAACTTTCTAACATAATTATAGTTTTATGACTTTATCTATGGTACATTCTTTGATTTCGTTTTGTTTGCAAGTCAGTCTAAAGCTTTCTCACATTTTCTTGGAAGATATATAGCGAAAACCCAACAAAAAAAAAATTCAGCTACTTTCATTAAAATAATTGGTATAAATTTTATATATGCTAAAGCAACACTTTACAAAACACTACTACATCATTTTTTCATCTTATCATAACATTTCACACCCACAATTTTCTTAGTTAACTTATTTTCCTTATACAAATATGTAAAGCTTATTATCATTTCATCTTTATACTGTTATCTCACATGATCTATGCAATCTCAACTTACTTCTCTTCCCTTTATGATGATTATTAACTTGTGTAAACAAACTACCATAATTATTTTTATCTATCCTCAGTCCTTGATTTTGTTTCTCTGCAAGTTATATCTAAACATTTTATCTTTATTTTTTTAAGGCAGATTACTGATAACATTTATAAAAATAAAAATAAAAAGTCAGCTACTTTTGTTAGCAAAACAAATTTTATTTAATTTGGTTGAACTTTTTGTCTTCTTTTGTCTTCTTTTTTCCAAAAACAAAGGATTTCGGGTGTGCAGTTTTTTTTGTTCTTAAACTTTCGGAATGATGGATTAAATTTCTTGACTTCTATGAAATGTTAGTTTGAGATTTTTTTTCCTCAGATTTGTGTACCGAAAATCCATATTTTCTATCTTTTCTATCTGTATATTCTTCATTTTGCAAATCCGAAAGTGTTTTCTTTACCAAATTAAGGGTAGTGAAGATTCGGTATACTCTTTGTTGCACATCCATATATCTTTTTCCCATCATATGTTCTTTAAAAGTTGGAGAATGATAACATTCTGAAGACTATGACATGATGTTGGAGGTGAAAACCGTACCTCCGGTTTTCTCCGGTACAAACCGAGATCAGCACGAAGTAAACCCGGTTTATGAAGAAAATGTACCGGGAACATTGGGCCGAGTGAGTTCTTGGGCCGAACATAGCCCAACAAGCCGAAGTCGGTCAGAAGCTTCTCAAAGGAACCGAGAAGTTCTCTGAGTTCGGAGGAAAATGGAAAGTTTCCGAATAGAAAAAGGAAACTGACGAGAAGAAAGGAAATTGTCGTGAGAAAAGGAAAATGACCAAGAGAAAAGGAAAGTTTTCTCGATCCCATATCGCATAGAAGACCCACAAAGACCGACTTAGAAGACATATATAAAAGAAGAGGAATCGACATCAGAAGACACAAGAAATTCTAGAGAGACTTAGAGACTGAGAACTCAATACCTTAGCTTCTTAGTTTCATAAGTCTTAGTTCGTTATTCAACCGAACTCAGTTGTATTCCTAAATCGATCTAATAAAACCGAGTTTGCCAATCTAAATTACTGTTTTGTCCCTTGTTGATATTCACAGATCAACACATGATATAGGCTGCGTCGCCACACAATTCACAAAAAGTGAAGCATCATTTGTTTAGTTTTTATCTTGACATATATTTTGACTCATAGTCATACGGTATCAAGATTTAACTCATTTTGAATAATTGATCTCGTTCAGAGCCATTTAATATAGCAAAAAAATGGTTAAAAGAATAAAAGAGGAAAACCCTAGTTAACTTTATCAAACATGTTCATATAAAGGCATGAGAAGAAAGGATTTCTGAGGGCGCACCATAGCTACAAGTACTAAATAACTATTATATACACATGTTAGGATACGAATCGCGTTTAAGCGTCTAACATTATCAGATTATCGGATTTGTTCATATCATGTTAGAGATTTGAAAAAATACAATTGTTCACAATATTGTACATAATTTTCAACTTTTCATATGTCAGTCATATTTACAAACATGTTCTACATATTTTTTTCTTTCAGAAAATCGAATCGGATGTGTCTATTATATATCATGTCTTCTTCTTTTCTAATCGTCGACAACTTTAATCATACACGCACTGAATTTTAATAACGTAATTTTGGTACAACTTAACTTACAATTAAACTTGCAGATTACGACCTTACAGACTTACAGTTCACGATGGATGATGGATCTAACATTTACAAGTCACGATCATGTTATAAGCAGCTGAAATAATAATTATGAACAATAATAAGGGAAAGAATATCAACTGGTCCACCAGATTCCTCTCCAGTGCAGGAAAACTCACGCTGCTGAAGTCTGTCTTGTCAGCAATCCCCACCTACTCCATGTCATGCTTCAAATTACCAACTAGCCTTTGCAAAAGGATCCAATCAGCACTTACACGCTTTTGGTGGGACTCGAAACATGGACAAAGGAAAATGGTTTGGGTGTCTTGGAAACTACTCTCCAGATCAAAGAAGGAGGGTGGTCTGGGTTTCCGTGAAATCTAATGCTTTAACGACGCTCTGCTCGCTAAACAAACATGGCGTATCCTCTCAAAACCTACTTGCCTTCTCGCTAGAGTTCTGCGAGGCAAGTATTTCCTGGACACTTCTCTCCTCGATGTACCGATGGCCGCATCTATATCCCACAGATGGAGAGGCCTTCTCATCGGCAGAGACCTCCTCCTAAAGCAGTTGGGCAAATCCATTGGTAATGGATGTGACACCTCAATATGGGCTGAACCCTGGCTTTCTCTGGAACATCCGATGGCACCGATGGGACCAGCAACTGAATCGACCAGTAACATGAAGGTTTCAGACCTACTCCTTGGTAATAGTGGACAATGGGACATTGATAAGATAAAGGAAATCTTACCTCACCATCTCGCGGATATATTGAGCATCAAACCAAGCTCCAAAGGTGCAAAGGACTCCTTCGTCTGGCTACCTACTTATTCAGGCACCTACTCCTCCAAAACAGGCTACCACATTGCGATGTCATCCTCTGAGGAAGGACCCATTATTAAGGAACCTGCACTCAACTGGAACGCCGAGATTTGGTCAACAAAACTCCCACCTAAACAGAAGGTCTTTATGTGGAAAATTATACAGAAAGCCCTCCCAATTGGTGAACACCTACTCAACAGAGGAATCATGGAGGACCCAGGATGTGTTCATTGTGGAGATCTCGAAACTCCTGAACATCTCTTCCTCTAGTGCCCGTATGCTCGCCGAGTTTGGGATCTCGCTCCTGTCTACCCTGATTTCACGCCATACCAAATGGACTCTTTCACTGATGCTCTTATTGCATCGAAGCTCTCGAAGTGCCTTCCACCGACCGGAGTCGGAATCGGTCCAATCTTTCCGTGGATCTGTTGGTCCATTTGGAAATCCCGAAACAGCCTCCTTTTTGAAGAGCGACGGTTCTCACCAGAAGACACTATCACAAAAGCAATAACGGATGCGAGAGAATGGCAGCTTGCCCAAACCCCTGAACCTGGTAATAACCCTTCCCATTCATCGGCTCCGACCCCTCTTCATCAACCAGGATCCATCGTCTGTTTCACGGACGGTGCCTGGAGGGCTGACATCAAAACTGCTGGAATTGGATGGATTCTCTTTGAAGAAGGCGGATCTGAAATCACTAAGAACCGATCTACCATCCCCTTCGTGAACAGTCCTCTGATTGCCGAAGCTTTAGCCATCCGAGAAGCTTTAAACCACGGCCTTTTGCTGGGCCTAACCTCAATCAAAATCAAGTCTGACGCTCAACTCCTCATCAGAGCCATCAACATGCACGAGCAGATCAAGGAGATCTATGGTCTCCTCTTCGATATCCACGCTCTTGCCTCTCTCTACAGTTCGTCTTCTTTCTATTTTATCCTGAGATCGGAAAATTCAAGAGCTGATGCTTTCGTTAAACTCTCTCTATGTAATCTGAACTCCTCAGCTACCCCTTTGTGTTCCACCTAATTCTAATTAATGAAATGGCCGTTAAAAAAAAAAAGGGAAAGAATATTTTTCTTACAGCGGGCCTATTTAACAAAAAAAGCCTAAATTATCTTACTCAATGTGTGAAATCATTTTAGTAAAAAGTCTATTAAATGGGCTAGAAGGCCCATAAATCATATATTGAATAGACGCGTGTCGGTGGGTGCTGATTCCACAATAAGAAAGACGTGGAGATTGGCACGTGAGTAAGCCCTGCGTGGTGGTTGGCACATGTGCCTAAGTGGTAGTTGACGATCTTTGTGAATTTTGTGGGTCGCAAACGTTTGCATTAGAGCTCAAAACCAACTGAGTTTTTATTTTCTTCAGAAAAATACAACATAACTATTTAAATTTATTTTTGTTTTCTTTTGAGAAATTAAAAAAATGCAAATGATCCAACTTTGTAAGACAGCCACAAAATGACGGACGGTTTATACATATATGATATTCGATCTTATATACATATGTTCTGGAGTTGATCGGCCTCGAGGGTTATATTAAATGGAGGATTGCATTTGTTTTAGTGTAAGGGTTATTTGGCACTAATTGATTACTCTGAGGTTATAGCAAATATTATATTTCCTTTTTGGAAATAAAATGTTGTGTAAATGCTTTGCGACAAGAAAAAAGAAGAAGAAATGAATGATTGATGAATCAGTGAATGAATGGTGATCATCAGTTGTGGCTACCTACCAAATGAATAAAATCATTTATATTGTATTTATTTTTGCGGGGTGTTTACTAATATTGCAGTTAATGCATTTTAGTTTCTTTTTTGTCTTCTGATAACCGTGTATTTTAGTTCAAGTAGTAATCTTATACAAAACTGAATAATATCACAAAATTTAGATTTTACGTACAAATGCAAACATGTATTCCAATAATGGTCTTTAACATTGTGAAATGTAAGGTGCATAAATTATTATGTATGACTTCACTTGACGAAATAGTCCCTGAGAAGCCTCGGAATTTGAGTTACAAAATCCCCGGCTTACCTAATCGTCAGAGATTAATCTGTTCGACACTCGTTGAAGCTACAATACACATTTGGACAATTGACACGGACGAAGATTATGAACACCCGCACTGGTCTAACCATATATAGCACGAGAAGCCCATATGATATTTCTCTTTGTTTTACGAGACGTACAATTTGCTTTTGCCGTTTTTCACTTGCAAATAGCTCAAATACACTGAAAAACATCTGCTTTTGGTCCGGTGTAGACGAAGTTGTATTTACTTGTTCGACATTTCGACCATGTCATATCCTAAAAAATTACTGCTATGAGCATAAAACAATTAAAAAAAGCTTCACACCGATATTTAATGTTACTATTTCTATAAAATCACACCGATATTTAATGTTACCTAACACCAAATTTTTTCCACACCATATCTTTTTAATAAGTTATTTTTTAACGAAACCCTTTAGAAAGAAAATTATTTTTAACGCATTTATTAACAATTTATTAGAAGACCCGAATTGTGTTTTTTTTTTTTTTACCAAACTGAATTTTTTTTAGGTTCTGTGTCATCCATAAAAAGAAACAAAAGCCAACTGATGACTGTTAGAGAAACAGGTCAAACAATTTGTGTTTCAGCTCCACCTTTCTTGCTTTACGAGACCAACGAACGACCTTCGAAACTCAAAAAAAGGTTTGAGCATTTTCTCAGATTTTTCTTTTCTATACTCTAATTTAAATAAAAATCCTCATTCGGTTTCTAAAAATTAGTTGGATTTAAAAACCAATTCCTATGTTTTAATATTCAATAATGATTCTACCTTAAAATCGCCAGGGAAAAAAAAGAGCTTTCTTGTAATTCTATTCTTTCAAGAAGACTGTAATGTATAACCGAAACAACTCTTGGACTTATTGTTTCAGATTCTGAAAATGGAGGAAGAAGATTTATTACTACCTCATACAGAAGGATTATTAGCTTCTCCTAATAAATCTTCTAATTCGTTTCTGTCTGAAATATCAAATCTCTCCACAAGACCTTTTCTTCTTGCCTTCACTGCCTGTTCTTGCGGTGCCTTTTCCTTTGGATGCATTGTGAGTTCCTAAATTCGATTTTTTTTTTCTTTTATAATTTTCAGGTCGAAGTTGAAAATGGGTATCATGCATTTTTAATTTTAATTAACTATTTTTTCTTAATTAATTCTCACAGCTTGGATATACGGCTCCTACACAGTCCAGAATCATGAGAGACTTAAATCTATCCATAGCTGATGCAAGTTCAATTTTTTGGGTCTATTTTGGTTTATTTCCGGTTATCTGATTGTGGTTTGATTGGATTTTTTTGGTTCAGCTAATTTTCAGTGATTAACTTTTTGTAGTTTTTTCTCAGTTTTCACTTTTTGGATCGATATTGACTGTGGGAGTAATCCTTGGAGCATTAATCTGTGGGAAATTAGCAGATTTGGTTGGTCGTGTCTATGTAAGATTCGAACTAAAGAAAAGTAGTTGTCATATTCACATTTGATTATAATTATAAAATCATGCATATAATCATCATCTTATAATGATTCTTTAAATTCTTTAGACAGTGTGGATTACAAACATCATGGTCCTAATTGGCTGGTTCTCTATTGCATTTGCTAAGGTTTGCTATTTTCGAGTATTTTTTTTTGTTTTAAATTTCAATAATGAAATGCCATCATTTAAGTCGATACATTATTCTATCTATTCTATTAAAATCAGAAGCACATTTAGTACTTGCATCCAAACACTTCTAAAGTTTTTTTATAATATTTTATTTTATTTTTATATTTAATTTCCAAAAATTAGTTATTAATTTAGATATTTTTAGATTTCCTAAAATCTAGGTCATCTTTAATTTAAATTTCAAATTATTAGAAATTTAATTAAATTTAGTTACAAAAATTTGCATTCAATTTAATTTAAATTCAAAAAATTAAAAAAAAATTATAATTAAATTTTATTACGAAAATTTAGATAATAATTTTAATACTTTAAAATTTTCTAAATACAGGAGAGATTTAATTTAAAATTTTAAATTTAAATAATATTTTTATAAAAATACATAGTAAATAAATATTTTATCGTATTTTATCATAATTAATTGGTCTAAAATATCAAATATTTGAGATTAATAAATATTTATATTATATAATAATATGATCGAGCTGATTAGAGTTATATATATATATATTTAAGGTCCATGAGTTAATTTATTAAAACATGTAAGATATTAAGATGATTTGAGACAATTAAACTAACAGGTTAGCCAGTTTATATATATATATATACATTTTTTTAATAGCATAAATAATAAATAAATATTTCATTATATTTTTATAATCAATTGGTCCAAATATTCTATATTAGTAAATATTTATAGGATTATACAATTATAATTATAGTCTTATACGAGTTAGTTTGTCAAAATATGTAAGATATTAAAAATGATTTAAGACAACTAAACGGATAGATTAGCAAATTCATAGATATATAGATTTTTTAAGTGTAAATCTAAATTCACATAATAACAAAGTTTATAATTAACATTAGATCAATGTATACTTAATTAACATCAGATCATTCAGTTTAATTTAAATTCAAAAAATTCAAAAAAAATTTATAATTAAATTTTACTACGAAAATTTAGATAATAATTTTAATACTTTAAAATTTCTTAAATATAGGAGAGATTTAATTTAAAATTATAAATTTAAATAATATTTTTGTAAAAATACATAGTAAATAAATATTTTATCGTATTTTATCATAATCAATTATTGGTCTAAAATATCAAATATTTGAGATTAATAAATATTTATATTATACAATAATATGATCGAGGTGATTATATATATATATATAAATATATTTAAGATCCATGAGTTAATTTATTAAAACATGTAAGATATTAAGATGATTTGAGACAATTAAACTAATAGGTTAGCCAGTTTATATATATATATACATTTTCTTAATAGCACAAATAATAAATAAATATCTTATTATATTTTTTCATAATCAGTTGGTCCAAATATTCCATATTAGTAAATATTTATAGGGTTATACAATTATAATTATATTCTTATACGGGTTAGTTTGTCAAAACATGTAAGATATTAAAAATGATTTAAGACAACTAAACGGATGAATTAACAAATTCATAGATATATAGATTTTTTATGTGTAAATCTAAATTCACATAATAACAAAGTTTATAATTAACATTAAAATATGATAACAAATTTTTGATTTAAAAAAATAAATAACAAAAACAAATTATATCTAAATAAAAAAGATAAATGCAACTTATATTAGAAAAAAAAAATAAAACATTCTCTGTGCAGACGTACGGGGTTAAAATATAGTAGTTCATTAAAATATATGCTTTTATATTCTGTTCTTCACTTTTTTTTTTTTTAACAAAGGATGTTTGGCTGCTCGATCTCGGAAGGTTATTGCAAGGGATCTCGGTCGGGAATTAGCGCATATTTGGTATGAATGAATAAAACTAGAGGTGTTTTATCTATTTTTATGTTTTCTTGTTTGTATATATAATAGTGAGATTAAATATTTGATATACTGTACATATATGTGTTTTAGATTCTTTTGGTATGAGATTTTGGTAATAATTTAATATGATGGTCATTAATCATAGGGACCGGTTTACATCTCCGAAATAGCACCAAGAAATGTGCGAGGATCTGCTTCTTCCTTGTCTCAGGTAAATGAAGAGAACAATTTTTCATGAATCTATATAAATCGAATGTACTTTTCATACAATACAATACTCTTTATGTTCTTCAGTTATTTGTGGGCGTTGGTCTATCGGTCCTTTATGCACTTGGAACAGTCGTTCCTTGGCGCAATTTAGCCATTTTGGGTACGTAAAAGAGACTGACACATATCGAATGCATAAAACAAATCACTCAATTCCTTAAAAGAAATATAAAAAATTGTCCTCTAAGGTTTTGTGTTTTGACTTTGGACAGGATCTATACCTTGTCTTGTGATTTTGCCTCTTCTTTTCTTCATCCCTGAATCTCCTAGATGGCTAGTAAGTACTTAGTTATTTTCTTTTATGTTTACATTTTCATTTCGTGTCATCGCTCGTCATACTTGCTTCTATTTGTCTAGATGTGATCCAAGCGGGTGTTAGGTTCTTGTTTTTACATTCAAACACATTTTCGTGTTTCTGTCACATGTCTTTTGGATATTATAAGGTTAAACCAGTTGACATAACATGTTTACAAAATGTAAGCATAGCATGTGTTTGTAGGGAAACTCGTTAGTCTTACCTTAAATAAAATAAATGTCTTTGTAGGCTAAAGTAGGGAGGGAAAAGGAGGTTGAGGCGGTTTTGTTAAGCCTGCGAGGAGCAAAATCTGATGTATCTGATGAAGCAGCAGAGATATTAGTAAGGAGATATGAAGAAATGATCAATATATCATTTTTTTTTACATTGATTTCCCAATATTTTGTTGATCATTAGGAATATACTCAACATGTTAAAGAACAACAAGACGTCAATGGCCGTGGTTTCTTCAAGCTATTTCAGCGAAAATACGCGTTGTCACTTACTGTAAGTAACTCCTCAAAAAGAGAAAAAAAAAAAAAACTTTCAAAGCATGTTCTTGTTGATGCATTTTCTCGATTATTTAACACTTTTTTTTTTACATAGATTGGAGTAGTTCTTGTAGCTTTGCCTCAGCTTGGAGGTCTTAATTGCTATACTTTTTACACTGACTCCATTTTCACATCTACCGGTAAATAAAACCACATTCTTCTTCTATGATCTTGCTTCATCGAACAGTCAATAATCATTTGATAATGATCAGGTGTATCGAGTGACGTTGGATTCATATCGACATCCATTGTTCAGGTTTTACAGAAACGATCATAGAGCATGATTATAATTCCTAAGTTTTTTTTTTCGTATATAATTATCATTCGCATAAATTCTTTTAACGATCACTTTAAAACACATTCTTGCAGATGGTTGGAGGCATTTTAGGTACTGTTCTTATGGATGTATCCGGAAGACGTTCACTCCTATTGGTAAAATACATTTTAAAAGCCGTTAACCGAAAGCGTAATTAAATAACCGAAATCGTTAGATTATCTTGATCGTTTTTTTTTATAAAAAAAATTGGAAAATGTTTTTGAGTGATTGTAGGTTTCTCAAGCTGGAATGTTCTTGGGTTGTCTCGCAACAGCCATTTCGTATTTCTTGCAGGCATGCTTACTTACTACTCAATATAGCTCTACTAAACTGGTGGTTTGGTTTCAATTTTAAAAACCGGTTTGTAATATCTCTGATTTTCTTACCCTGCAGAAGAACAATTGCTGGGAAACAGGAACATCTATTTTGGCTCTCATTAGTGTTATGGTAATAAATTAAACTATCATAACAATACATAACTTTATATTAAAAAGTAATTATTTAAACAATGCCAAGGTAAAAAAATTGTGTTTTGCGTATTTATCAAATTAGGTGTATTTTGCATCATACGGTTTAGGCATGGGACCGATACCATGGATCATAGCATCAGAGGTATATCAAATAAAAATTCAAAAAATTGATAAAATATACCTAAATGTTAATACATTATAAATTTATAATTCATGTTTTTTTTTTTGTTTTTTTTTTAGATTTATCCAGTAGACGTGAAGGGAGCGGCTGGAACAGTTTGTAACTTGGTCTCATCTATAAGCTCATGGCTCGTTACATACTTCTTCAGTTTCATGCTTCAATGGAGTTCTGCAGGTAATTTATCTTTAATTTTTAATATATATGCCAAAAAGCTTCATGAAACTGAAAAATGAATTATTGTAGGAACATTTATCATCTTTGCCACAGCGATGGGCCTTGGAATTGTGTTCACAGCTAAGCTTGTTCCGGAGACCAAAGGCAAATCATTAGAAGAGATTAATTCTATTTACACTGAATCTCCTCCTGAAAATTCTACAATATTTTAAGAAAAATTGTTATATTGGTGATGAAGAATCAACTTGGTACAGCTTAAACCAAGGACAGGTTGGTCTGATTGAGCTCTGGTGAGAATTGCAGCTCATGGTTTACGGTTAAGGAGATAAACCGGCATCTCATTTTGTAATTGATTTTAACGGCTAGTTGAAGTGTGTGTTGTATACGTGTAAACTCAGATCTCATCTCTTAGGTTGTTATCGAGAAGAGGCTTAAGAGATAGGTTGTTGAGTTTGTTGTATCGTGTGATTGATTAATAGTTGCCTGATTCACCAGGCCGAGGAGTTGGTTTTACTCACACATCGTGAGGCCGCACTCGATTCTCTGTGTCGTTTTCTTTTCTGCAAATTTCTTTACTGTTCTTTGTGAGAGATTGTGAGCTTTGAGAGTGAAATCGAAGATTGATTCAAAGAGCAGATCCTAACAAAGTGGTATCAGAGCTTAGGTCATGAGCTCAGAAAGATCAATGGCAGAGATCAAATCGAATATCGCGATCTTCGACGGTCACACTACAAGAAATCACCCATTTCACAACGACCATATTCGTCGTTAAATCGTTGTTAAATGAGGTTTGCGACGATTTAACGACGAATTCCAGTTCGTCGTATATTGATCGTCGTAACTGGTAATTCGTCGTAAAATCGTCTTTAATTAGCGAGAAACGAAGAATCGTCGTTAAAACGTCGGGAAGCATTCGTCGTAACATCGTTGTAAAAGTAACGACGATTAAATGACGAAAAGCAATCGTCGGCAATTCGTTGCAAATTCGTGGTCGAAGAATCGTCCTTAAATCGTCGTTACTATACATTCGTCCCTAATTCGTTGGTAAACATATCGTTGGTAATTCGTCGTAATTTACAACGATTTAAAGACGAAGTTTATTTATTTTTTAAACCCAAATTTTTTGGAAATAATAATTAAAATTAAATAAATTAATTTGAATAAATTAATTTGAAAATATGAAAATAAAATTATTTTAATTAAAAACAAAACAAAATATTTTTATTACAACAAAAAGAAATCATATTTAAGCATCATAATCAATTTCGAAATCTCCAAAATCGTCCGCAAGATTTGTAACCGGAGCATGTGATTGATCCTCTCCACCACTTGTAGATGCTCCTTGAGTACCCGCAGCTTGTGTCGCTCCACCACTTGTAGATGCTCCTTGAGTACCCGCAGCTTGTGTCGCCATTCTCCGTGCCGCCAATCTTGCCTCCTTTTCCGCTGCACGTTTTTGACGGAGCGACACATACTCTTTAATCAGGTCAGCCCAATCATCCATGCAAGTCTCAGCTAAGTTATGATCAGTTTTAATAGTCATCATCCTAGCTGCCAGTGATAATTTAGATTGTCCTTCTTTGCATCCATTGTAAAGTGGCTGATTAGCAGCACCTAACATATCATAAAAAATTTTTGCATCTGCATTGGGTTCCTCATCATGGACAGGTGCAAATGTATTTGTGGTCTCATGAAATGCATCTGTAACCATGTCTTGAATTCTATCATGATCAAACCTTTGCTGCTCTGCATTATAATATTCATCTTGATGCAAATTATTTGACGAGTCTTCAAAATTTGATGCTTGATAATTGCTATTACTACTACCTGCACTACTTTCTCCATGCCCTTCTCCATGATGATACCATATAAAGTAATGTGGCATAAATCCTCTATTTAATATATGCGACCACACTTTCGCGATTGTGATAAATTTTCTATTCATGCATTTAGGACAAGGACAATACATCATACGACTGGCAATCGTTCTTCGGAGTTTTCCCGCCTCATGCATGAATCCCTCAACCCCCTCACTGAATTCTTTTGTCAACGATCCCGTTGAATCAATACGATTGTACATCCATTTTCGAATTTCGTATATGGACGACATTTCGTATATATATTTAATATTCACTACCAAGTGAATATTTTTAAAATTTATACTTGTTCCAATTAAGTGATCAATTCAATCACTCTTATTTAGGAGCATTGTGATTTTTTTGGGTTATGGGAGGCATTATATATAGATTTTTATTTGGCTTACCATCGAATTAACAACGTTATTTAACAACGAATTAACGACGAAATGTAGTTTAGCGACGAATTAACAACGAAAAATGAGAATCGAGTGAAAACGTGTTTGACCGACCTATTATTTTGTCGTAAATTTGTCGTTGATTCCCGACGGAAATTATTCGTCGTTAAATCGTCCCTAAGTTACGACGATTTTACGACGACTCTTGTTATCGTCGCCAGATCGTCGTTATTTTACGACGATTTAACGTCGATTATGTTTCGTCGCAAATTAACGACGATTTGGCGACGATTCTAAGAATCGTCGTGCAATCGTCGTTAATTCGAAGGGAATTTACGACGATTTGTAGTCGTCGTAAATAATCGTTGCTACAGTCCTACTTTCTTGTAGTGTCAGGGCGATTTCTCGATGTGGAAGAAAAGGATGTTTGCGCATCTCTCGATTCTCGGATTAAAGGAGTTTCTAGCTGAAAAGGCTTACTTCAAAATCGAGGTAAAGAAAGAAGAAGATGAAGATGCGTTTGAGGAAAGAAAGATCAAGGAAGAATCTGACTGTATCGCGAAGGAAGAAAAAGCGATGAATATCTTGATCTTGAATCTAGGTGATCATGTTCTTCGAAAATTGGAAGAATGTACAACGGCATCATCGATTTGGTCAACTCTCGAAAGGTTGTACAATTCTAAAACTCTTCCCAATCGGATTCATATGCAACATCGTTTCTATACTTTCAAGATGGTTGAGTCAAAGTCTATTGATGAGAACGTAGATGATTTCTTGAAAGTAGTCTCGGGGTTGAGTAGTGTGAATGTTACAGTATCGGAGGAAGTACAAGCAATCTTGCTGTTAAGTTCATTACCTTCACAATACAACTCGTTGAAGGAAACTCTGAAGTATGGAAGAGAGACCTTGACTATAGAGGATGTAAGAAATGCTGCAAAATCTAAGGAGATAGAGTTGAAAGAGGTAAAAGAACTGATAGGATCTCAGAAAGTCGGGGATGCGTATGTGGCTCGTGGCAGAACAGATAAAAGAGATTCTGGTCCAAGAAAGGGGAAGAGTAGATCAAGGTCAGCTTCTGGTTCAAGAATAACTTGCTGGTACTGCAAGAAGGAGGGTCACAAAAAGGCTGATTGCTATGCTCGAAAAAGGAAACTAGAAGGAGAAGAAAATGTCGAAGCAGCGGTGGTTATAGATGCATTCGAAGGAGAAGATGCTCTAAACGTGTCTGAGAACTGGCACAAAGAAAAATGGGTCATAGACTCAGGATGTTATTACCATATGACATCAAGGCGTGATTGGTTTGATAAGTTTGAAGAACTTTCATCAGGGCAAGTTCTCCTTGGAGATGACTATTCTGTTGAAGTAAAAGGCATAGGATCGATCAACATAAAAGCCCATGGAGGAACCATTAAGACTCTAACCAATGTCAGGTATATTCCAAAACTCAAAAGGAATTTAATATCTTCTGGAACATTGGATAGACTAGGCTTTGATCATAGAGGAGGAAAATGAAAAACTAGGTTCTATAAGAATGGTAAACTAGCTTTACAAGGAACCTTAGTGGGAACTCTGTACCTGTTAGATGGTGAGACAGTTACAGGTGAAATTAACAACTCGCAGTCTAAGAAGTTGTCCAAGGATGAGACAGTCTTGTGGCATAGAAGACTCGGACATATGAGTCTAAAGAATCTTCAGATACTTGCAAAGAGAGGAATTATTGATAAGAGGAGGATAGGAGAGATGAGCTTCTGTGAGAGCTGTGTGATGGGGAAACATAAGAAACTCAATTTCAACATTGGGAAACACAACTCGGAAGAATCACTCAAGTATGTTCATGCGGATCTTTGGGGATCACCAAATGTAACGCCTAGTCTTTCAGGAAAACAGTATTTCCTCTCTATAATTGATGATTGCACTAGAAAGGTGTGGGTGTTCTTCTTGGGAACAAAAGGTGAAGCGTTTGAAAGATTCTGTGAGTGGAAGAAATTGGTAGAAAATCAAGTGAACAAGAAAGTGAAATGTCTCAGAACGGATAACGGATTAGAGTTTTGTAACTCTGAATTTGATGGCTTCTGCAAAAGTCATGGAATAGAGAGACATAGAACTTGTGCCTATACGCCGCAACAAAACGGAGTTGCAGAAAGTATGAACATAACTATCATGGAGAAAGTGAGGTGTCTTTTAGATGAATCAGGGCTGGAAGAGTCTTTCTGGGCAGAAGCTGTTTCCACAGCTGTTTATCAGATAAACAGATCACCATCTTCAGCTATTGATAGCAATATACCAGATGAGTTGTGGCTTGGAAAGAAGCCTGGTTACAAACACTTAAGGAGGTTTGGCTCACTCGTATATGTGCATAAAGATCAAGGCAAGTTAAAGCCGAGGGCCTTAAAGGGAATCTTTGTAAGTTACCCTGCTGGAGTAAAAGGGTATAAGATTTGGATTCTAAACGAGGAAAGATGTATCATCAGTAGGAATGTGGTATTTGTAGAAGAGAAAGTCTACAAGGACATTAAGATCGAAGAGTCTACCTCAACTGGTGTTGATACCGAAGGTTCAAGGGATAAAGCTGGAACTAGCACTGAGATTAGAGCTGAGTCTCAGGTGGAGAAACTCAGAACAGTCTCACAAGGAACAAACAGGTCAGGTTCAACACATGTAAGTGAAACTGATTCGGATGAAGATGAAACCGAAGAAGATACAGGACCAAGTGGATCTTCTGATGGTTATCAACTAGCTAGAGACAGACCCAGGAGAGAGATAAGGCTTCCTGCAAGGCTTCAAGACTGTGATATATCAGCATTTGCGTTTCTGGCAGCTGAGGACATTAGTTCAGTTGAACCGAGGGACTATCATGAGGCAGTTAAGAGTAAGGATAAAGACCTATGGAACGGTGGTATGAATGAAGAGATGAGTTCGCTAAAGAAGAATGAAACTTGGCTGATTGTTAAGAGACCAAAGGATAGAAAAGTGATTGGTTGCAAATGGGTCTACAGATTGAAACCAGGGATACCAGGTGTGGAGAAACCCAGATATAAAGCAAGGCTTGTGGCCAAGGGTTACTCATAAAAGGAAGGTATCGATTTTCAAGAAGTGTTTTCACCAGTAGTGAAACATGTTTCAATCCGGTTTCTTCTTTCAGCTGTAGCAAATTTTGATTTGGAACTGGAGCAGTTGGATGTGAAAGCTGCATTTCTACACGGAGTCATTGAGGAAGAGATTTATATGGAGCAGCCTGAAGGTTTCAAAGTAAAGGAAAAGAGAACCATGTGTGCTTACTGAAAAAGGCCTTGTACGGGCTTAAGCAAGCTCTGAGACAATGGAATAAATGTTTTGATCAGTTTGTGGTAAGACAAGGATTCAAAAGAAGTGATTATGATCACTGTGTCGACATAAAGGAAGCAGAAGCTGGAATTCTGGTTTATTTGTTGTTGTATGTCGATGATATACTTGTAGCATCAAAGGACATTGATGAGATAAAATTGGTAAAAGACATGTTGACAGTAGATTTGAGATGAAAGACTTGGGCAAAGCAAGCAGAATCTTGGGGATGGATATAGAAAGAGATCGTCAAGGTGGAGTTCTAAAGTTGTCTCAGTCGGGTTACATCAAGAAAGTATTGGAGGCCTTCAACATGGATGAAGCCAAGCCTGTGTCTACTCCCATTGGGTCTCAGTTCAAGCTTTCTGCCATAAAAGATGATGAAGCTGAGACAATTTTGGAGAATGTACCTTACTCAAATGCAGTAGGTAGCATCATGTATGCAATGATAGGTACTCGGTTGGATTTGGCTTAAGCAGTTGGCTTAGTCAGTCGGTTTATGAGTAAGCCTGGTCTTGTTCATTGGTCAGCAGTAAAATGGGTGTTGAGGTATTTGAAGGGTACTCAAGACTTGAAGTTACAGTTCAGGAAAGGGGACATGTTCAAAGTTGAGGGGTATTGTGATTCAGACTTTGCCTCAGATTTGGATAGAAGAAGGTCTATATCTGGTTATGTGTTCACGGTTGGTGGAAATTCCATAAGTTGGAAGTCACAACTTCAACATGTGGTGGCACTATCTACAACCGAAGCTGAATACATGTCTCTGGTGGAAGCTGTAAAGGAAGGAATATGGCTAAAAGGGTTAGCTGAAGAGTTCGGGTTCAAACAAGAAGCTGTTGATATCTGATGTGATTCTCAAAGTGCTTTGTGTCTCGCAAAGAACAATATTCATCATGAGAGAACAAAGCACATCAGCAGGAAAATGCATTTCATTCGAGATGTAGTTGCAGAGGGAGAAATAAGACTTCAGAAGATTGCTACTTCAAAGAACCCAACTGACATGTTAACAAAGGTGCTTCCAGTTGAGAAGTTTGAGAAGGCTCTGAGCTTTCTCAGGTTAATGCAACATTAAGTTGTTGTGTAAGTCCTGGTGAAGACACACGTTTACAATGAGACTGTTGCTGTTCAAGTTTGATTGTCATCAAGGTGGAGTTTGTTATATTGGTGATGAAGAATCAACTTGGTACAGCTTAAACCAAGGACAGGTTGGTTCGATTGAGCTCTGGTGAGAATTGCAGCTCATGGTTTACGGTTAAGGAGATAAACCGGCATCTCATTTTGTAATTGATTTTAACGGCTAGTTGAAGCGTGTGTTGTATACGTGTAAACTCAGATCTCATCTCTTAGGTTGTTATCGAAAAGAGGCTTAAGAGATAGGTTGTTGAGTTTGTTGTATCGTGTGGTTGATTAATATTGCCTGATTCACCAGGCCGAGGAGTTGGTTTTACTCACACATCGTGAGGCCGCACTCGATTCTCTGTGTCGTTTTCTTTTCTGCAAATTTATTTACTGTTCTTCGTGAGAGATTGTGAGCTTTGAGAGTGAAATCGAAGATTGATTCAAAGAGCAGATCCTAACAAAAATCATAAAAATAAATTAATATTAAGATTCTACCTCTAAAACCTTAAACCTCAAACGATATCCGATTCAACAAGTGTTTGTTGATACGTTTTGTACGGTTGGGTTTTTGGGTCATATTATAGACTGAGTCGAAATGTATGGATTCTCGATCCTTGTAAATTATTTGTATCATCGTTTTCTTCCTTTGTTTTTAAAGCCGGACCAACGGTCCGACCGGGTTGAACTGCCAGCCTAAGGTATAATCAGATTGGATTGATACCAAAATCCACTGAAAATTAAACAGGTTAAAAAATCGGATTAAACATCCAAAAAACCAGAAACCGGTCAAACCGGCGAACCGCATAAAATTAAGTTCAATTAAAAAAACTTAAATTGTGTTTTTTTCCTTTTTACATTTTTTACTTCTAACAAGTTGATGTTCGATTTTTGTTTAGTTAATTTAGTTTTTTTAAATAAAAAATAAGATTTCTAAGTCATAACTCTTTTACACCTATTTGTTTTTTATTTTTTAAGTCTATATATAACTATTTAAAATATAAATTATTAAATCCGGTTGAAACCGATCTAATAATGTTGATCTATGACCCAAAAACTTTTTCGGTTCGGTCACCAGTTTGGTTTTTAAGACATTGTTTTTATCTATTTCTCGTCTATTTGATGAGAATGTGATAGGTTCAAAATGATTTTTTTTTTGTAATTTGTAATTTATAGTTATTTGTTTGTTAACCCAAAAAAGAAGAAGAAGTTATCTAGTTAAGTTACTGCAGACATGTTTGGCGTAAGCTGTTTATTTCACAGTTCTAAAAGTTTTTTTGGTCAAACAAACTTTTTAAATTTTTTTAAATTTTAAATCCTAAAAATTAAATTTTTTCTTTTTTTCATAGATTCTATAAACTTCGTAAGAAGAGTTTTTATACAAAAGACTAATAAAAATAAGAAAAATAAATATTTTTAATTTATTTTTCTATTTTTTCTTTCTTCAAAATTATTCAAAAGACGTTGTACATTTATATATAGATAATTATTAATTAAATTTAATTGATTAAATTTTATTTTTTTCAGCTTATTTTTAGATCTATTTCTATAAAAACAAAATTTTATAAATTTTTTTTAGAGAACTATCTAAATGTAAATTATAAATCTGGCGTAATTATATTTTTGACTAATAAAAAATTATTTATAATTTAAAGCATAATAATTAATTTCTATAATTTTTTAATCATCAATAATTTTTTTTTTAAATAACAGCATAGTTTTTACTGTTAAAGTTTTTGAAAAAAATCTACAGTAAAAACAAAAAATAAAAGCGGTTGACCAGCGTTTCATGCCAATTTCTCTAATTATTAGAAGAAACTCATATTCTTTTTAATTTTTCTTTCTTTTCTCGACGATAAATTTTTATGCCGATAACAATTAGAACAAACAAAAAAAAAGGAAACACCATTTGTGTGTTTCGGTTCCGCATTTCTTGCTTCACGAGATCAGCCATCTTCCAAACTCACATTGATTTCTCGAAATTTATTTCTAATAAACCCAATTCTGTAAGTTTAAATATTCAGTAAAGACTTATTCTACCTAAAATTTCACAGAAAAAAAGGGACTTCAAGATTGGAATTTAAGTGAAGCAATTTTGATTAATAATCTCAGATTTCGGAAAAAAAAATGTCAGAAGAATGTTTGTTCTTACCTTCTACTTCTGAATCTTCTTCTTCACTTCTGTCTGAAATATCAAATGCCTCCACAAGAGCTTTTGTTCTTGCCTTCACTGTCGGTTCTTTCGGCGCCTTTGCCTTTGGTTGCATCGTGAGTTCTTGATTTCGATTTTTTTTAAATTCTTAATTTTCTGTTAATTTTCCGGATTCATGCATGTTAAGTTAATTATTATTTTTTTAATCACAGATCGGATATTCGGCTCCTACACAGTCCAGTATCATGAAAGACTTGAATCTCTCCATAGCTGATGCAAGTTCAATTTATTTATTCTCTCTCGGTTAATTCCGGTTATTTATTTCTGGTTCAATCGGATTTGTTTTCTAGTTCATCTAATTTTTGTCGTTTACCTCAGTATTCACTTTTTGGATCCATATTGACTGTGGGACTAATCCTTGGAGCATTAATCTGTGGAAAACTAACAGATTTAGTTGGCCGTGTCTACGTAAGTTTCCACTCGAGAAACATTAGTTCCTTATTTCACAATATAGATTTTGCATTATTTCGTTTAATACCAAACTGAATTTGATTTTACAATCTTGGATATGATCATCTTCTTCTTCTGTGATTCTTTTTGAACTAGACAATATGGATCACAAACATTCTCTTCATAATTGGCTGGTGTGCTATCGCATTTGCCAAGGTTTAGTCTTATTCATATTTTTTAATTTGTATTACAGTAATGATTAATATTTACTCTTAGAAGTATCTAATTATTATTACTCTTGCATGTTCTTCAATTTTTGAGCAAATTAAGGGTGTTTGGCTGCTCGATCTTGGAAGGTTATTGCAAGGGATCTCGGTCGGAATCAGCTCATATTTGGTATGTATGAATAAAACTTATAGGTGTTTAATCATTTTTTTGGTTGGTATTTTCTGATTTTAGTGATATGACCTAAATTAGGGGTTGGTATATAGATCGAACATAATTTCCTTGTAAGTTGTAATAAGTGTAACTTTTGGAGTTTAGATTTGTTAATTTGGTAGATCCAAAATGATTCATCAACTCTTAAGACTTAAATATATTGAGACGAGAACGAAATCTATTGGTATGATATTTTTTGTTTTGTTATAAACTACATAATTCACAGGGACCGGTTTACATCACCGAAATAGCACCAAGAAACTTGCGAGGGGCTGCTTCTTCCATGGCGCAGGTGAACTAAGAGAACCAAAAAATCTTGAAAATATTGTAAAAATGTAATGTCCCTACAATACAAGTTTCGAATCTTCTACAGTTATTCGCGGGCGTTGGTATATCAGTCTTCTATGCATTTGGGGCAGTAGTTTCCTGGCGCAATTTAGCCATTGTAGGTAAATGTCAAAAAGATCGATTCTTCTTGAATGTAAAAATCGAAATTATTTCTCATTTCATTCCAAGAAGAAATTTTGTTACTAATTAATAGTTTTTGTGCTTTGTCTTTGGACAGGATCTATACCTTCTCTAATGGTTCTGCCTCTTCTTTTCTTCATCCCCGAATCTCCTAGATGGCTAGTAAGCACTTGGTTATTGCATTTACCTTTTATATTTTAGTGAATTTCGCCGAGTATATATCTTTTGGAAATTATAAAAAAACAAATTCGATAGCCTCGAAAATTTACTGCACTACAATGTTCATCTACTACAACGTGTTTACAAAATGTATACATATAACATTCTGATATATAATTTTCAAATAGTTTATTTTTCATTAGTGTAAACGTAATATTTTTATTAGTAAACACAAACATTTGCGTTTATTACAATTGGACCCTAAGCCTGATTAACGTAATTATCTTCTTTCTCCTTTAACCAATTAAATACGATAAATACACATCAGACAAAGGTTTAATGCTCTAACATCGGTGGGTTCACGTACGGTGAAAATCTTTATCTTTGATGTGACCTTAAATCAAATTTAACTGAAATGAAATTCGTTTTTGAAGGCTAAAGTTGGGAGGGAAAAGGAGGTTGAGGCGGTTTTGTTAAGCTTGCGAGGAGCAAAAGCTGATGTATCTGATGAAGCAACAGAGATATTAGTAAGGATCTCTATGTATGACTTATCATTATGAACACATATTAGTAAAGACTTTATATAAGACTTATCATTATGTATACATATTATATTGATTTCCCAACATTTTGATGGATCATCAGGAGTATACAGAACACGTTAAACAACAACAAGATATCGATGGACGGGACTTCTTCAAGTTGCTTCAGCGAAAATACGCCTTTTCACTTACTGTAAGTAATTCCTTAAAATGGTTTAAACAAACCTTAAAAGCAGCATTATAGTTTTTGCATTTTCTTGATTATTTAACCCAATTGGTTTGTTGACAAAAAAATAGTAACCCAATTGGTTTAGACAGATTGGAGTTGTTCTTATAGCTCTACCTCAGCTTGGAGGTCTTAATGGTTATTCTTTTTACACTGACACCATTTTCACCTCTACCGGTAAATAAAACCTTATTCTTCTTCAATGAATCTTGTGTCTTTTTTTTTTTTTTTTTTTCTTATAAGACACAATTATGATTTCTTCATTTGAGTGATAATTAATTATCTGATGATCAGGTGTATCCAGTGACTTTGGATTCATATCGACGTCTGTTGTCCAGGTTAATACCGATTTAAGATCATAGAGCATGATTACATATTTCCTTCGTTTTTTTTGGGTATAATGTTACATTATTTTACCGATTAATTATTTAAAACAAAATTCTTGTAGATGTTAGGAGGCATTTTAGGTACCGTACTTATTGATGTATCCGGGAGACGTATGCTACTACTGGTAAAATATAATTAAACACTCTTATCCGAAATCGATAGGTTAACTTGTTCGGTTTTTGAAGGAAATTTAGGAAAACTTTTTGAGTGATTGTAGGTTTCTCAAGCTGGAATGTTCTTGGGTTGTCTCGCAACAGCCATTTCGTATTTCTTGCAGGCATATGCTTAACTATTCCATCTATTCTACGAAACCGGATGTTGGTTTTAATTTTTTCAAACCGAACCATAATATTTTCGGTTTTCTTTTTCTGCAGGAGAACCGTTGTTGGGAAACAGGAACACCTATCTTGGCTCTCATTAGTGTTATGGTAATTGATAAAATAGTTGAGATCTGAAATGAAATAGGTTGAATTTCTTAAACTAAAATGGACGATTTTGATATAAAATGTAAATTATTTTCGTAAAATCCCCGTAATAACTCTGATTTGCTTGTTTATTTAAATCAGGTGTATTTTGGATCATACGGATTAGGAATGGGAGCAATACCATGGATCATAGCATCAGAGGCAAATACTCTAAATTTTAGAAATATACAAAAATAAACCACACATAACCTTTTTTTGCTAACCACATATATCTAAAATGCCATTATACATTTAATGTTTCTATTTTCTTTTCTAGATTTATCCAGTAGACGTGAAGGGAGCAGCGGGAACAATGTGTAACTTGGTCAGCTCTATAAGCTCATTGCTCGTTGCTTATTCCTTCAATTTATTGCTTCAATGGAGTTCAACAGGTAAATCTTAATATTATATCTAAGTAAAGAAGAAAAAAAAATGTTCAAAAAAAAGTATGATATTTTACAATTTCTGTATTTTGAAATAAAGGCTTGTTAGTAAATTTTTACTGCAGGAACATTTTTGATATTTTCCGCAGTGAGCGGCCTTGGATTTGTGTTCATAGCCAAGCTTGTTCCTGAGACCAAAGGCAAATCTTTAGAAGAAATTCAATCTCTTTTGACTAATTTTCGTACTCAGGATTCTACAATTTTCTAAAATTCCGCCTGAAAATAAAATCAAATTTCTAGCTTTTAATCCTTAACCTGAATACCTGATCAAAGTGTTTACTTATGGGCAATCGATCGAGAAAAGAAGGAAAAAAAATTACTGTTTCTTGATATACCCAATTATGTGATGTATCTCTTCTGTTTACTTATGCAGTATCTAATACTTACTATTTAATTAGCAAACCGAGTCTTATAAATTCGTCAAGATGATCTTTTTGTATGTTTTGTGATCAAACTTCAACGTAAATGTTTTGTTTTTGTAGTTGAATATTTTTATCGTTTTTCAATCGGGGATTTTTCAGAATTCGTTTTCAGTCACACATATATTTTTGTTCTCGATCGTCCCGTTCGACATGACACTTTACGTGAATTAAAAATAATCTCATTAAAGATTCGAGTCACATGCCCGTAATTTCCATAAGCGTATGTTAAATAAGCACCAATAAAGTTTCTACTTATATTGCTGCATGTTGGTAAGTACGACACGTCCGAGTAAAAGAAATTGAAGGTTGGCACGTGAGCCTGCGGTGGTCGACGATGTTTTTGTTGCCTTTTCGGTCGCACACGTTTACCTCAAAACCCAGAGGCGTTGAGTTTTTTTTTTTCTAAAAAAAAAAAAGACAAAACTATTATTCTTTTGGTGACTGATTCCTACCTTATATGAATTTTTTTTTCCGACAAACAATATATAATCTAAATTAATAATAGTTCTACACATTTGTTTTTCAAGATTTAGCGATTTACTCAGCCATGTAAAATTCATAGATAATTGATATTCTCTGTGTAGTCGACCTAGGGTATAATGACAGTCTGATTTAAAAAAGAAGAAAAAAAGCCAACAGAATCGAAGGCCATTCAAAATGAACCAAAACCAAGTGTTATAACCAAAAGAAGAAAAAAAAAAAACGCGATCAGTCAAAAAGGTTTGAGATTCTCCTTCAGATTTCTTTATTAAAAATTCCATTTTCTTCTCCTATCTAGTTCTAAAGAGAAAAAACAATCGATTTATCTACGTTTCTTTTTATGTAATTGAGCCTACTTTTTTTACCATACTGAACCTCAGGGTGTTAATTATTACGATCTCATAAAGAAGAAGTATTAGCTTCTCCCAAGAAATTATCTTCGCTTCTGTCTGAAATATCAAATCTCTCCACGAGATCTTTTGTTCGTGCCTTCACTGTCTGTTCTTGTGGCGCTTTTGTCTCTGGATGTGCTGTGAGTTTCTTAATTCCAATTAGTTAATCCTTTTTTTTTTTTATGGGTTTAGTTTTCGGATCAAAATCGAGAATGAGTTCATGCATCTTAAATTAATTATTAGTTATATCTGTCTTTTTTCATAGAGCGGATATCACAGTCTGGTATCATGAAAGACTTGAATCTCTCCGTTGCTGATCAGCTGATGCATGCAAGTCTTATTTTCTCTCCCGGTTTATCCGGGTTTACTACTTTGGTTCGGCTAACTTTTTTCTTCATTTTTGTCCTCAGTATTCGCTCTTTGGTTCGATATTAACGGTGGGGACAATCATTGGGAAATTGACAGATTTGGTTGGGTTGTGTCTACATAAGTTTCCATATTTCAAAATATGTATCTCTATATTAATATTTGATTAAACATTTACATAAATAAATTTTATTTATAAAATATTACAAAATATTTTATATAAATAAACATTTATTTATAAGATATTACATAAATAAACATTTACTTAGAAGATATTACATAAATAAACTTTACAAATATAAAAAGCTCAACTAAATATTCTTCCTTAAAAGATAGTTAAATATATAGCTCACATATTTGTTTTGACTATCTATTGATATAAATCATAAGTGTATTTAGTTTTTTTACTTATTAAAATATTAAAATATATTCTATTATTTGAAATAATAATCAATATATATATAATCTATTTAAACTTGTGCAATATTTTTCATTTGTATTTTTATAATTAATTAGTATCATTTTTGAAAATCAATTCAATTATTTTTATAAAAAAAATGAAATATATATTCAAAATTTAAATTGTATTTTTTTTACGGGTTGGCCAAAAAATATTTTAGTAAATTGCAAAATACATTAAATAGACGGGTTTGTCCACTTTGACAATCCTATATATAATCATTATTAACATATACTATATAATTCATTAACTAAAAATGATAGTTTAAATCTCTAATAAAATATTTATAATTAAATTATTATTTTATATATATATATATATGTTGGTATGTACTAAGTATATATAAACATCATATCATTTTAACATTTAAAAACTACTAATAATTGAACTACATAACAAAACTAGCTCAAAGTATTATTCAATGATATATATACAAGTACATATTGGTTGTATGATATTTATATATGTATTGTTATCTAATTACTATTAATTTATTTGTATATTTTTTTGTTAAATGATTTTTGTCACCAATCTTAATTTAACCAAAAAATTAAAATTTAGTTTAAAAACAATTTAAAAAATATTATTCCACACAATGTGCGAGTTAATTCCTAATAATTATACAATTATGGATATCTATAAAATTATAGATTATCTCCTTCGCGATTCTCTATTTCTCTTCGAACAGAATGTGAATTACCAACATTTTCTTCCTATCTGGCTAATTCACTATTGCATTTGCCAAGGTTTGCTATTTTCTTGATTTTTAACAGTTTTTCGATAATGAAACGAGATCTGTTTAGTTGATAAAAATACTCTTTTTGTAAACACTTTTATACGGCTCTCCTTGTTTTTTGTGTCAAAACTCTTTTATAGATGATCTCAATATCTTTTTATCAGATATCTTACAAAATTTTGGTATTTTATCTTGTAAGGATTTGGTTGCTCGATGTCGGAAGGTTATTGCATGGTATTGCAATCGAAATTAGCGCTTATATGGTAACACCCCCAAACCGTAAATAATGGTAATTTAGATTCTATCTCGTGCATTCGCATGTGAACTATTTTTAATTTATCAAATTTTTTAATAGATTTTGTGTTTTTGTTTTTGTTTATATAGAATTTTTTAATAAATGATAAATATTTTTTGTTTATATATAATTTATTTCTATTGATTTATTTTTTCTAGTATATAGATGACCGTGATTAGAAAAATATTATTCTAACCCGTTTGTTCATATTAATCTGAAAAGTACAACGATTATAAAAACGTCATTAAAACATTGCCATTTATATTAATTCAAAAAAAGTTGCGATTATTAAAATATAATTCTAACTCGTAAATTCATATTATTTGTATATTTATATATTTTAAGTTTAATTATTTAAAATTTTAGACTTAAATATATAATAATATATCAATTTCATCTTTGTTATTAAAAATATTATTTAAATTTAAATATTTAAAATAAATCTAAATTAATATCAGATTTATTATTTTTTAAAAATATAATAATAATTTATATATAAGTTTTGATAAATAATATAACCTAGATTTAAAGAAATCTATAACAAATCTAAATTTAAATTTAAATTTTTGAATTTATTTTAAAATATAAATTAAAAATATATTATTTTACTAATATTACATTAAATTGATTTGTGTGGTAACATAAATAAGAGTTATCCAAAAACAGAATAGTAGAAAACCAAGTAAAAATTTTGTTTGAACACAACATCATTCTCTATTAATAGTATATATATATATATATATATATATATGTAACTTTGGCTTTTACATTAATTAAATGGATAAATTCGTAGAGTTTTGTCAACATTGTCACACTTTAACATACTGAAAATAAGATCGACATATTGAATATATGTGTTGTATGTTTGCATATTTAGACCTTTCAAGTAAAGGGTTATATGGAGCTATCAGCTATTGAATTGAAATCGGCTTTACCGGGTTCTTTTTTTTTCTATTCAGTTTCGATATTGGTTTACTTGGGTAATCAGTTAGTTTTAGTTCGGATTTTGTTGGTTTGCTGTTGTTGGATTTGGCAAACAAAATTACGTAAGAGGTCCAGATATTTTTTTATTTTTTTTAGTCAGCTTAGCTCTAAACAAAAAAAACTAAACAGTGGGCATACTTAATGTCTATAATGTCTCTATATCATAAAACACAGCCTTGGTCATGGTCAAATGACAATAAAAATCTCCAAATGTATGCGTTCAACACACAAACAGAGGATCCTCAAATACATGAACAAAAGTTTCATCTGCATTTAGCAACAAAAGGTTTAAGACATGAGCATAGCTTTGCCTTAAACAATGAAAACCCCCATAGCATAGCTTTGTGAGCTACTTGATCACGCATTATATCAATGAGAAAGCCCAAAGGATGCTACAACAGACACACGCATACTAACAGTCATAGTTAAACACATTCATTCTGGTGAATGTCAAAAATTGTCATTTCCATCAAACAGAAGCAGAATGAACATCTGCATCGAACAAGCTACGTGTCCATGACCCGTTGACTCTAAGCACAACATCGAACCACTCAACCTTCCCCCAAATCTCATCCCCATCATCACACCTTTCAAGGGCAATCTCAGCACACCAAATCACAGTTCCACGATAGCCATCGAAATCCACATAAACATCCCACAGAACAACCATGTTTCCACCAAGATCCACCATTTTACAATACCTACAGAGGTAAAAATCAGGCAATACTCCTTCAACACCGTTCAGTTTCTTCCACAAACTAGCCTTATAATCATACCACCTGAACACTCCATGTTTCAAAAAGAACAAGACTTCGTCTATCACACCATAGGAAATGAATCCCGCAAAACTCATATCCACAATCGGCTTCCATGTAGCTTCCTCGGGATTGTAAACCACATAACTATCCCCCATTAGGTAGAATTTTCCACCAAATCCAAAGCTTTTGAGTTCAACATTATTGCGTTTGCGTGTATCCATTTCAGGGGTCCTCACATTTTCCCAAGTTTGTGTCTTTGGATCAAACACCTCGACCCAGTTGGAGGAACTTTCGTCTTCGCAGCCTCCTGCTACATATATCTTCCCATCAACTAAGCTCGCCGTGGAATTGCTCCGCTTCACTCGCATGCTTGGAGCCTGGTGCCACGTGTTAAACCGACAATCAAGAACCGAGACCCTAGAAGAAGAGGGCAAATACCCGCCGGTTATGTAGATACTAGAACCAACGGCTACGATACTCGACGGTGGCGCAGGATGAAAACTAGGAGATGGGATTGGGATGAATTGATAGCCACTTGACTCGTTGGTTACGGTTCGGTCAGGTTTCCGGCAAAGAGTGAGCAAGTATGTGTCAGGGTCAAGAGGGTAGTGTAAGGTAAGATAGAGACAGCTCTCGGTTCGGTTTAAGCGTGATCTGGTCCGGTAAAGCTCCGGCGAAGAAAGGATGGATCGAAAACTCTTGGAGACGAGGGAGAGAGTTGGATAGTACAATATGGAAATGCGGGCTATGCAATTCAGTAGCAACTCGTATGGAAGTGACGAGAGCGAGGTCCGTTCTGACGCCGGAGACGGCTTCTTCTTCTTTCTGCTACACGGTGGTTTTGCGCCGTTTGTGGCGGCGGATAATTTGGCTTCGGACGACATTTTTAGGGGTTTGCTTTGCTGGAACGAAATTTTGTAGAAGAAGACGATAATTGCCAATCCGAGCGATTAGAACACTTTAATTTTTTTTTGATAAACGTTAATAATTTTGATTGGGTGATTATAGATTTCTCAAGCTGGAGCGCTCTTGGGATGATGCCTTGCCTCAGCTATTTCTTTCTTCTTCGAGGCATACTTACTATCCTGCACTACTCTACTAAACCGGTGCTTTTGGTATATTTTGTTCCGGTAGAGTAGATTAAACTTCTCTTGCTTTGCAGGAGAGTTGTTGTCGATTAAACTTCTCTTGCTATGAATTTTACAATATATATATCATCTCTGTAAACATTATTGTGTTCATGTTTTTGGCAAGAGTTAAAAACTAGTATTAACAACACCTTTTACGAAGATTTATTACATAATGATAAAAGTTTTACAGACTGAAACTAGTAAATACTCAAAAGAGGAAAAACTTTATTGAGAAGGACAACGACTTTTTTTTGTTTTTTTTTAGACTATTCTGTGATTCTGAGTGTTTAACCCACTGATCCTTCAAGCTTGATGCTCATAAGCTGATTAACTTCAGCTCCAAATTCATCAGGCAGCTTGTTGAAGACATCTCTGCAGAATCCAGAGATCATTGCCGCTAATGCTCTCTCGTGATCGATTCCTCTCTGCTGGAAATAGAAAAGCTGATCCTCTCCAATCTTTGAGGTACTCGCTTCATGCTCTACTTTCGCTGATGGATTCTTTACCTGTTATAGTTTCATCGCCACCACACAGACAGCAAAAAAAAAAAATGAGTTAACAGCTTTAACACCTTAGTTGCAAGCAAAGAGCATAGATAGTGTGAAATCAATAAAGTGACAAAAAGTTAACAGCTTTATACATTAAAGATTGGATCTTTAGGCAATTTACCTGGATGTAAGGATAGGTATTAGCAGCTGCTTTGTCACCGATAAGCATTGAGTCGCAAGTCGAAGTGTTTTTAGCATTTTCAGCTTTGGACTGAACCTGAACAAGACCACGGTAACAGTTTCTCGAATGCCCTGCCGAAATACCCTTTGAAATGATTCTACTTTTTGTATTCTTTCCTTTGTGAATCATCTTGGTCCCTGTATCAGCTTGCTGATAGTTATTAGTCAATGCCACAGAGTAAAACTCTCCCACTGAATCATCACCTTCTAAAACCACACTCGGGTACTTCCAAGTTATCGCAGACCCGGTTTCGACCTGCGTCCACGAGATTTTGGAACGATCTCCTGCGCAAAGACCACGCTTTGTGACGAAATTGTAAATCCCTCCTTTACCTTCTTCGTCACCAGCGTACCAGTTCTGCACCGTGGAGTACTTAATCTCAGCTCCTTCCCCACAATAGAGCTCAACCACAGCAGCGTGAAGCTGGTTCGTGTCGTAAGAAGGAGCAGTGCATCCCTCTAAATACTCAACAAAGCTTCCTTCCTCTGCAACGATCAAAGTCCTCTCGAACTGACCAGTTTCCATGGCGTTGATCCGGAAATAAGTCGAAATCGGCATCGGACATCTTGTGTTTTTCGGTATGTAACAAAAGGATCCATCACTGAAAACAGCTGAGTTCAAAGCAGCGTAGTAGTTATCGTCACTAGGCACAACTCTTCCTAGATACTTCTTGATCAAATCCGGGTACTCTCTAATGGCTTCAGAGATCGGACAGAAGATGACACCGGATTTCTCAAGTGTCTTCCTATGAGTGGTTGCTATGGAAACGCTATCTAGAACCGCATCAACCGCAACGTTAGCCAAACGCTTCTGCTCTGTTAAAGGGACACCCAATTTATCGAAATACTCTAGAAGCTGAGGATTAGCTTCATCTAAACTGTTCAAAGTTGGTTTCTTTTTGGGAGCTGAGTAATAACACATATCCTGGAAATTGATCGAAGGATACCTATTATCTGACCATTTAGGTTCTTCCAATTTCAGAAACTTGGCGTAAGCTTTGAACCTAAACTCAAGCATCCAATCTGGTTCGTTTTTCAACTTAGAAATCGATCGGATTGTTTCTTCAGATAAACCTTTAGGGATTGTGAACGAATCGATTTCCTCGACGAATCCGTACTTCTTATCGTAATCTTGATTCTGGAAATACTGCTTAAGTTTATCAGTGGAGCTAACAGTTGGTTTCGCAGAGGGAATACCTGATTCGGCTCCGATTGGGCGTGGATCGATTTCAAAATCGGCTCTGACTTTGAAAAGCCTCGTCGTTGTCGTCGTCGTCGTCGCGGCGGAGGACGGATTTAGGGTTTTTGGAGACGGAAATTTCAAGGATTCGGGTTTAGGATGAAACCCTTTTGGTAATTTTGAGGAATCGGGTGTGGGTTGCGGAGAAAATCCGGAAATACCGTTCGCGAGAAGAGACGCCATTGTTGTGGCTCTAAGGAGAAGTAGAAGAAGATTGTTTTTCGAGTCGCGTCTGTTAAAAAATGAAAACAGAGGATAGGCATAACAAAAGTGAAAATTTCAATATTTATTGACATTTGTTTGTTATTAAAATGCGGAAATAAAATGATAAATTTTCTTGGCCGTAAATTGAGGATAGTCTCGTGTCCACCACGGGACCTTTTTTCGGGATTTTCAGTTCAATTATGAACCACATTCTTTTCCACGGAGTAATTAAAATTAAAGAGAAAAAAAATAGGAAATTTTCTATAAAAAATTGTTAATCACTTTTAGGACTTTTAGATAACGACAAAAAAAGATATTAAGATACTTATTTACTGCTTGGTTTAAATATGTGTTATTGATTTTACAAAACCATTAGTCATTCAATTTGGTTCGAACTTTGTTTTATTGGTTTAATTAAGTCCTTGTTTGATTTGTATCATTTGATGGAAGAAAAAAATATAAGAAATTATTGGGAGGTCGATTTTTCAAGATTTTGAGAGTTTAAAATTTTATAGTTATTGATTAGATAATTTTTATAATCTAACCAAATTTTATTGTTATTAAAAATTATATTTTAATGATTGTGTTTGTTTTTTTTTTTGAGAAAGGGTTAATGATTGAGTTTGTTAAAATCTAATGTTATTGAGATCAAAAATCTTTACAATTTAACTCATAAATCATGATTGTCAAATAGATATCAAAATCTGTCATATTAAAAAGATTTTGTGGATTGTTTAAATCCACAAAACTCTCTTCAAGTTTTACAAATCTAACATTACTCTTGAAGATTTACCAAATCTCATGATTTTTAAAATCAACCAAAATTTTTATAAATCTAACTCACAATAACCCTCCCATATTCTGATTTAATTTGCTTTATCTTGTTAAAATTAAAAGTTAATAAAAGATACAATTTTCGATATTAGAAATATAAAAATTTCAATACGTATTTTGGTTTATTCGGTTCGATTTAGTTCTCTGTTAAAATTCCATTATATCTCATTATAATATATGGGCTTCGAATAAAACTATTAGGCCCATGTTTAGTTGCCTCAGCCCAAATCCACAGAGGAATAAAAAACAAAACGCCGAAGTGGTGGCGATTCTATGTCGTCGCCAAAACACTTTTCACACTTTTCTCTGCGTCGCCGGAGAGTTCCTGTCGACTGGTAAGTCTCTTCTTTAAACCCTGTGCTCCGGCGATCTCGCCGGTGAATTAGTAGTATAGGTAATGCGAATTTCTCCGTTCCTCTCCCCCCCATTAGAAAAACGTGTAGTAGATCAGGGCAAGTTCTTCACCTGAGAAATCGTCATTTTTTTTTGTTTCCGCTTCCTCTCTTTAAGTGATGCACGAAATCCAAAAGGATAATGAATTTAGCTGGAAACCAACTAGCTTGATTGTTTTATGCTTTTATCTTTGTGGATTCATTCTAATTTTCTACTGAGATTTCGCAATGTGTAAGTAAGTGTTAAGCTTTCTAGAGAGATGGGAGAGAGTTTGAAACGACGATTCTTGTTATGTATAGTTTAAGAATTTTGACTACCAGTTTTGTGTCACTACTAGATCCTCTCTGAGAGTAACATCTTACTTTTCGTTCATGTTAAAAGTCGTATATGTGTGAAGTTTAATACTTTGTTCATGCTCCTGTCCTTAAAAAAGGTTTTGAGAAGATGGATATAATCTCACAGTTGCAAGAACAAGTGAATTCGATTGCTGCAATCACTTTCAATGCATTTGGGACACTGCAAAGGGATGCACCTCCGGTTCAGCTTTCACCTAACTATCCTGAACCACCCGCTACAACTACGGCTACTGATGATGCTACCGCTTTTCCTGAGCAACCTAAGCAGCTCAGTGCTGATTTAGTTAAGGCTGCTAAACAGGTTATTCCTTCTCTCTACTGTTTCAATGGAGTAACATCTGTTTTATGGATAGAGTTTAGTGTCTGAAAAACCAGCTTGTTAAGATGCCTTTTGATGTATATATATGCATATTATGCACCATAGAGCAATGTATCATTTCGTATTACAAAGTGAACTTTTGAAATCCCTGTTCTGTGTTATTTTATAGACGTATGGCCCAAAAGTGCTAATTAAAGAGTGCAAAAACACCTATATCTGATGCTGATCTGATCATTCCTCGTTCTGGCAATTTGAGTATTAAGGTGGTACTTCTTTTTTTTCTGGTGAAGTTTGATGCTTTGGTTGCAGCACTTCCTTTATCAGAAGGAGGTGAAGAAGCTCAGCTGAAACGAATTGCAGAACTCCAGGTAAATAACTCAGTAATATTTTGATTCCCTGGTTTCGATAATCACTGAATCTGGTATTTCTCTTCATCTAACGCCTTTGCCTGGTTACTTATCTACCGTTTTTCTTCAGGTGGAAAACGATACTATAGGTCAAGAACTCCAAAAGCAATTAGAGGCTGCAGGTAAAATTTCGTGGCCAACTTTGCTCTTGTAATCCCACTTTAGCATTTTAGGGTGTAGCAGATCCATTAGTAGTTCAGTAGTTCTAGTATTGGTATTTTCACTTTTATCCATTTTCTTGCAAATAGTGCTTCTGACGTTGAACAGTTCTTAAGTGGTAACCTTGTTTCTTGACAGAAAAGGAGCTAAAGCAAGTCCAGGAGCTATTTGGAGAAGCAGCAGACAATTGCCTGAACATGAAGAAACCCGAATGAAATGCTTAACCTTGTATGTCAAGCTGATCCAGAAACTATATGTTTTAGGCTCAAAAGTAATAGAAGTTCTGATTTGGTTACAAGAATGTTAGTTACTTAGTTAGCTCACAAAAAAAAAAAAAAAAACAACCATAATTGTAATATTACACTTCTTTCCATGTCCAATTAAAATCTCAAAGAATCCACGATTGACCCTCCATGTCTATTCCTCCGGTCAGATTCGGTCCAAGTTACTGAAGAGAAATGGTCAGTCCATAAATTGGGACCCAAACCGGAATGTGACAGAAGCATTTGCAGAGATCAACGGTTTAGGAACCGAGCAGACCTTAGTAATCAACCAATCTGTTCAACAGCAATCACCTGAAGAATAAACAACAGTAGCGTCAAGCTTAATCCTGTGTGGCTGCAAATTAGTCCCTACTCTTAACCCTTTTCCTCTCACCTGTCAAGACTTGTGCAGAGTCATGTGAGAATGAAATATGAGATCTTCTGTACGAAATCACACCATAAGGGGGTGTGTGTTCCAACCAATCTTTCCCTACTTTGTTGGGAACACAACCTTTTTCTTTTTCTGTTTCTTCTTTTCAGGTGTTTGAGAATATACAATCTGGCTTTCTTTGATGATATGTTGGACATCTTTATCATCTTTTGGGATTTTTGATACCAATGCCTCGGCACCTTTCAAATCCCCTGCAGACAGTAGAACCTGATACATCCTGCCAAGCCATAAACCATAACCAATGAACAGAGGATCTGGTCAACTGCATTCTTTTAAAAGTCACGCAACCTGTAGACTGAAACGTTAATCCCAACAACTTGGAACAATTTGCTAAGCTCAAAACTCTCTTGTGCTAATGGGTAGTAAGTATATGACTGTTGTGTTCTGAAATTTCTATACAAATCTCCTACTCTTTCTTTTTTAGTGTGAGCAAAGAGAAATCAAAAGGGAATCTATTTTCTTCTTTTGGGTCAGATCAAATACGAATCTAAACGTGCATGTTTGCAAAAAGGAGAGAAAGAGTGCCTTGCCTTAGAAAGCTTAGTACGTTGCAAGGAAGTCCTGCAGATTGGTACTCTTTCCACACCGATAAACCGTTCTCCATATCCTTGGCATTAACACAAGCATGTAAGAGAAAATCTAGACATTTTCTAGAAGGAACAAGCCCAAGCTCCTCTTTCATAAATCTTAGCAACTCCATCCCTAGCTTCACTTCGGTTGGCTCTGTCTCTGCGATTGCCCAAAACACCTGTTCCAAAACAGCAACTCACTGAGAGGCTTAAAGAACAATTCAGCTACTAACTACTAGCTACAGTCTCCAGCTTGATCGATATTCTAACTAAACTTTTGCTTAGTGATTTACTTCAAACTTCATCCGTAACCCAAAAAACTTTCCCTTGACTTTTCAGAAGTAAGATCTCTTCTTTGAATCCCGCGATGATCAAAGAACATGGAATGTGAAATTTCCACATACCCGGAGACATCTCGACGTTATCTTAGATGACTAAATGAACAAAGTTTCCAGAAACCCAATAGAGAAAAACAGAATCAAACCTCGTCGAAATGATTTTCCACAGGGATGTCTTTCTTGGATAATCGGACTTTGTTCCGCTTCAGCAAATCAAGAATATTGCTATAGAACAAAAAGAGCAAATCAAGAATGAGACATACAATAATATGGTAAACAAGAACCGATTATAGATCATGGGTGATTTACTGTACCTCGACTTTCTATTGCGGACAGCGAACAAGATCATTCTGAAGAAACCGTCTTTCCAACTAATATCATCTTGCAGGTCATCAGCCAGTTGAACCAGGGTATTAAACTCTCCCGTTGAATCAGAGTATTCCTACAGAGAGGCAAATCACTGATCATCAGTCAGTCAGAATATGATATTATAAAAACAAGTGTCATGAAAGTGTATACTTACTATCAGAGATATAATCGATTTTGGGTCTACTTGGCATTTTTGTTTCTTCATTTCTTCATATATACTCAAGGCATCTGCCCTTTTTCCATGTGATGCGAGAGCCGAAATAAGCTCATTTTTCAGCTCATCTTGGTTTCCAGCCGGAACATTTGGGTCCAAGAGCACCTAAGGTAGATCAAAAAATTTGTGCTCTTACTCTAGTTACTAAAAGAGATTCCGCTTTCAAGATCTTATAAAAAATAAAGAGTTTGCATGCTTACCTGTTTTGCCTTCTCAAACTGCCCAGATGCTGCATATGCATCTATTAGGGACATGTAAATTCGCTTAGTAACTTGAATTCCTGCTTGCTTCATCTCCTCGTAGTACTTATAAAAGGCACAAATATACTTCGCATTCACACACGACTCCAAGTTAAGAAAAAAAAGTTGCCAAAAAGATCTGAAAATTACCTGAGTAATAGCGTCCTCTCGATTACAGTTGTTTATTAAATAGCCAAAAGTTATGGAATCAGGTTTAACGCCAGCTTCCTTCATTTGCTTGACGACCATCAATGCGCTACGCACATTTTTCTTCGAAAACATACAGAAAACATCAGCTGAAAACGATGGGACCTCACAAAAACATGGACAATCCATCGGGTCAGAATTTGCAAACATGAAATAGGAGCTTAAGATATTACCTCCCGAAAATATCCACCCAATATACAATTGAACATGCTTGAGTTTGGTTCCAAATTGAAGTTCTTCAAATTGCCAAGCATATTATATGCACCTTCAAACTGCACATAACACCAAAAGATTTGAAGCAAAAGGTTTAGAATTACAGACAAAGCAGAAACTGTAAGAAAGAGCACAACCATGTCCGCATTTCTCATATAGGATTTGAGGATATACTAAAGCGAAAATAAATAATAAGGAACTTACATCTCTTATTCTTGTGCACAAACGTATCATGTTCCGGAAGTTCTCACTACTTGGTTTCACACTCTTTGTGCACATAATTGAATGGATTCTTCGCACCTGAATCAGAAAAAGTGTGAGGAGACTCCCAAACTCCTTTTAAAATATGAGAAGAAGACGATTATTGTGATCTAAACTGTAATCAATGAACCGATGTTTTCGCTGTTCTGTGTGATGTATAAAAGATGATGAAGTTAAGAGTCAAGAAAACATGTGAAAGGAATATGACCTTATTTTCCCAGTAGCTTGTTGTATATAGATTCAAGGTAAATGAGAATGCGTACCAAATTAAACTCAAGAACTTCATCAATGGCATGTAACAATGAATGTAGAATATCTGCGGATATTATCAGACCTGCTTCGCCCATTTTTTCAACAACATCAAGAGCAGTGACCACCTATGGCACGGAGGGAATCAACTATTAAGGAGAGCACCAGAAAATAAAGCAAAATAGATATACGATCAAAATAACAAATACCTCATTCGAGTCACAGCTATACTTAACAAGCTTTTCGTACGATGTAGATGAAGGCATAACACCGAGTTCTTCATGCATCTTGTTGAAATTCAAGATGGTATCCTCAACCTTTAATTGTAAGAAAATCAGTGAAAACATGGACAATTAGGAGCCATTGGTTATCTAAACAAAAACTTTTAAAACACTATTCCAGTAAAATTCATGAGAAGTCCATTTACCGTCAGATTTGGGGTGCAAGTGGAATAGATAGAGATGAGATCTGAAACGTTCTTCACTCCTTCATCTGCACATGTAAATGAAAAACATATTACACATGCTACAACCATGATTTACTAGAGACATGAACATGAGTCGATGTCGAGAAAATTTCTTGGTTTATATCAAATGCATCCTTACCACTTTCTCTTAGTTTCCAGAGGAGCTTCCTCGCAACAGAATCCAATGAAAACTTCCCAAGGTATCCAAATATGTTTGCCAGTACGTCCGACGAATTAACTTTTGTAATGTCTACAATCTCTAAGAGCCTCTGAAGATGGTCCCTTTGGTCTTTCTTACACAGTGCAAGCAAATAACTTTCTGTTTTAAGGGATCAAAAAGGTTATTTTTTTTTTCCTCCGAGCAAGAAAGCAAACAAATTACAGAGTCCTCAAACTGAATAGTGCTTACCTTGTAATAATGCTAAACTGTCTCCATTACCATCAATTGTACCACAAAGATCCTCAATTTTCTCTCCGTCGCCAAGTTGGATCCAAAGAAGCATTTCATAGTAACCAAGTCTATCAACAGAACCAGGACTCGCCTCCTTAATGACATCTTTGAAACTATGAAACTCCTCCACCATATCCATATCAATCAAGTAATCAAGAAGAGGTCCGTAAACAACTTCTTCAATTGGGAATCCGCGGTCTCTCATGGATTTCAAAACCTGGAAAGCCTTGCCGATGTGGTCAAGAGCATAATCAAGATCATGGCTTCTCTCAGCGAGCTCTAAGTAAACTCCAATCATTGCATTGTACTCCGTTACACTCATCTCTTTGGACACCCTGTCGAAAGCACCAAACATAGCCTCGGTGCCTAGTTTCTGAGCAGAGTCTCTGAATATCTTTGTGAAACGCCGTGACATGCTGTTCTTCTTGTAAACACGTCTCTCTTTCCTCTCACGGGACAACTCTTTCGATCTTAACGAGATATCGAGAGGGATCTTAGTGTTGAAACTTGGTATCTTCAATGCGTTCGTCTCCGAGGAGCTTTTCTCGGTAGTGGTTACTGAAATGTGAATGAAAATTGAGGTCATTTGAGGGTTCGTCGAAGGAAGAAGGAAGACGAAATAGGTTAACACATACCATGTAACAATTTCGATACTTGATCTGGTAATTTCGCTTCATCAAGATCTACACAGAAGATTTTGGAAGGAAGCTAATCAATCAATCGGATTTTGAACATTACCCAGATAAGAACATGATCAAATGTACAAAATTCTTCACATCGAGTGGGGAAATTAAAAGATGGATTGAAATTGAAATGGTTCATGGATATAAACCTAACCTTGTCCGGTACCAGACGAAGAGATTTTGGACCTGAGAAGCTCTTTGACTGCTTGGGAAGTTGCGGCGATGTCTCCTTCCCTGGAAGAAATTGAAGATTCGCCGGAGTTTCTAATCCGGGAGAAGAAGACTGAGCTTAGTAAGCTTTTGTTAGGCTTTGAGACAACCATGTTCGTATTTCACAAGTGAGAAGAAGAAGAAGAAGAAGAAGAAGAAGAAGAAGAAGAAGAGAATCTGAATTATAAACCTCGACAAAACCCAGAATTGCGGATTCTTCGTCGTTTTAGAGGGTTAGGGGTATTAAGGTAATTAATCACGTAAAATCAGGGGTAATTAAGTAGATTAATAAATTAATGGACATTCAAGAGATTACGGATTTGGTGATGATCAAACATTTTAATCTTGACTCTGATTAGTAACCTACGGAACGGTGGAATTGCGTTTTTAAACACAATTCCGCATATTTTTTGCCAATCAACAAAAATCCGTATAATGAAAAAATACACATAAAAACGCAGACTGCGTTTTTGCTTAACAAAAATATAAAGAAAAAGTCATTCCGCAGAAAATCGATTTATAAATCGCTTAATTTATTCCGCAAGATTTTTTCCACAATTCCGCCATTCCGCAAACTTATCTCTGCTCTTACGCAACTTGTTCTTCTCTACCAATCAATCGCTGCATCTCCGATCGTAAGCTTCTACGGTGGTTGTATTGTGACCATGGCGGCTCCGGGATCGGTACAGAAAGGAGATGAGGAGTGGCGTGCGGTTCTTTCTCCTGAGCAGTTTCGGATTCTCCGGCAGAAAGGCACCGAGTAAGCCTTTCTTCCTTCTTCTTCCTCTTTCCCCGGCGATTCAAGCTTCGATTTTGGGTACCTTTTTGCTTAAAAGCTTAGGAAATTTTGTGAATTTTTAGAACCAATTTCCTTGTCCAGGTTCAGGAAATTTCGAAGTTTGTGATTCTCGAATCAAAAAATTTCAAAGGAAAACATTTCTTCTTCTGCTTTCGAGTCGTCTCCATGATGTTGAAGATTTTGTGCTTGAACCACCATAAGAACACAGAAATTTTCTGCTACAGATGTAGAACAACATCTTCCATGAAAGGATACCATCTTTAATTACTTATTAAACTCCAGATTAGAGGTCGTGATAACAGATAATGATCCGAGTCTCTTTTACCTAGAACTTTGTTGCTCTGTCTGGTTAATGTTCTCAGTTCCTATAAGAGCCTTACTATTAAGCTTCTGTCTAAGAATGGATTTCTCTGTATGATCATGAAAAATGTCTGCTTTGTCTTGGGTTTTCAGTCTCTTCTAGTGTTTTGAATATCATATTCGGCTAACGAGTACACACTACTAGAAAAGTTAAAGCTCCCTTTTTGTAAGGAATTGATGGATATATATAATCGTCATGTTCTTGTTTTTGTTGATTAACAGATATCCAGGAACTGGAGAATATGTAGACTTCAACAAAGAAGGGATTTACGGTTGTGTAGGATGCAAAACTCCTCTCTATAAATCGACCACAAAGTTCAACGCCGGCTGTGGCTGGCCAGCGTTCTTCGATGGAATCCCCGGTGCCATTACTCGAACCGTAAGAAACTCTCAAAACGAACACACACACAAATCGTTTTCATGAAAGATTGATAGCCAACAAAAAGTTAAAACTCTATTGTTATGTACCAGATGGACCCAGATGGGACAAGAACAGAGATCAACTGTGCAGCATGTGGTGGACACCTTGGCCATGTATTCAAAGGAGAAGGTTTCGATACTCCAACTGATGAACGCCATTGCGTTAACAGCGTCTCGCTTAAGTTCACACCCGCAAAGCCTCCTTCCTTGTAAAAATATTAGTCTTCTTGGCAAACAGATTATATAGTTTATTTCTCTGGCTTTTTTTTCTCACTCTGAAAGTGAGTGAAAGAACGACAGAATAAGAATAAGATTCATGTTTGTGTGTGTTTGTATAAGACTATTATGGTGGTTTTATGTTGTTACCTTGTACCACCACAATCATATATACATCTCCTTGGGCATTTTGACAACAACTTTATGGTTTAAAAGGAACGGATTTGATCTAGAGTTTAGTCGTTTAGACTATTATATTTTTATTAAAATATTGAGAGATTAATATCGAGATACTAATTTATAGTGTAGTAATTTATTGAGATTTTGTTATATTTGGATCCCATTATGAAAAATCTTGATATTATATACTCCTCTTTTTCAAGATATAAGTTTTTTTAAAAAGTTTTTCACACATTAAAAAAAATAGTTTGATTAATTAGCTATAAAAAATAAGGATAAAAGTGAACTTTTTTAAAAAATATTTATATTGAAGACCGAGAATAACTTATATTTTGAAACAAGATCAACTCCAAAACAACTTTATATTTTAAAACAGAGAGAGTAATAAATATTGGGTTTGTAATCAAATTTAGGAAACCGAACCGGGACAGGATTAAGGGAAAATTAATCACCTCTATAATAATCACGTGCATGATTCATTACACTCAATCCCCTACCAGTCTATAGATCACAAATGGTTCATATGAATGAATGTAGACGAAACACAAGGAAAGATACATGACTGAAAATAAGGTATAAATAACACTACAACGGCTCAAGAAGTAATTATCATCCGATTCGATTTCCTTTTCCTCCTCCGTCGCAATATCTCATCAGAGCCGTGCTTATATGTATAAAAAAAGACATTTACCTTAGACCACCAAATTTATTTTTAGTTTGAAGGGCCACATTTTTTTATAACTTTATCAAAATATATAAAATACATGATTTTGTTTGTTATGTATATATATATATACAACTTGAAAAAATATGTTATGATATTTAAAATTACATTTTATATAATAAAAACTATAATTGTATTAACAATATATCAACCATAAATAAAGTTTCAAAATAAACAAAATAAAATAATAATAAATTTTATAATTTGTTTTAGGCCTCTTTAAGGCTAGGCACGGCACTGCTCATCAGCTTCCGGTTAGTTTCCGTGGTGGCGAATGGCGGCGGCTCATGGTCATGGTCATGGTTTGGTGGTCCAAAAAACAGAGGAGGAGTGGCGTGCCATACTTTCTCCTGAGCAGTTTAGGATTCTCCGTCAAAAAGGCACCGAATAAGTCTTGTTTTTTTATTTGATTCATCCAAGAATAGAATCCTTGTATCTAATCCTAAAAAGACATAGGCAACTCCGAGTTTAAGTCCATTTTCAAGAATCGATGGGAATATTTATCATCTTATTAAATGTTCTTGCGTTTTTTTTTGGTCATCACAATATTTTTTCAGAAAGCTAGGAACTGGAGAATATGACAAGTTCTTCGAGGAAGGAATATTCAACTGCGTTGGATGCAAAACTCCTCTTTATAAATCCACAACAAAGTTCGACGCTGGATGTGGCTGGCCAGCTTTCTTTCAAGGACTTCCCGGCGCCATAAACCGATCTGTAAAAGAGATCTTATCTTTTGTATGTTTTTTGGTTTATTAATTTCATGAATGTTGGTAACTAATTAAAAGTCTTTTTTTCTTTCTATGTTTTGCTTGATGTGATTCAACAAAATTATCAGCCTGATCCAGATGGGAGAAGAACTGAGATCACTTGTGCGGCATGCGATGGACATTTAGGCCATGTTTTCAAAGGAGAAGGTTACGCTACTCCAACCGATGAACGCCATTGCGTCAACAGTGTGTCCATCGATTTCAGCCCGGCAAAACCTTCCCCTGTAACCTAAGGATTAATGAACATAAACTAATATTTAATGTGATTGTGTTTGTTGATACCGAGTATCACACAAAGAATTTAGAGATTTTATTAATGTTATAGCTGAACTCAAGATGAGCTGCCTACGTACCCCTGAAAAGGGATCAAGCCATTCGTAGTTCTGTTATTAAAGTTGTGAATGATCTTTGAAAGAGATGAGTCTCTTCTATTTATAGGGTTTTGAAATCGGTCTTTCTAGACGATTTCCTTTTTCTATTTGGATTTGGTTTCGGGAATATTTCCTTTTCTTGGATAAGATTAAAGAAATATTCCGTAAAGTTTAGATGTTAATGCCGATATTGTAAATCAGGCTTTAGAAGACCATAAGCTATTAATGGGCCGAATATCTTTTGGATATGAACCATCGTAAATCGGGCTGATCTCGGTTCATACCGGACTAAACCGGGGGTGCGGAGTACACCACCAACAGTAAGCCCCCCCCTCAGTCCGGCGAAAGAGTATGTGTAAGAGTTCGGCGGATTTGATGAGTATTTTTAGTCCGGGTTGAATTGAGATTGGAGACTTGCGAGGTTGTTAGCTCGGCTTATATAAGTTTCAACTCAGTCTGTTGCGAATTGCGATAATTCGGCTTACATTTGCGAGTGTTGAGAACTCGGCTTACGGTGCGAATCTGAGGTGTTCGGCTTAATTTGTGCGAGTTAAATGAACTCGGCCTGGGGGACCCAAGTGAGTTTTATCATACTGGAAGAGTGAGGAATCGAACCCTTGTAAACGCATGATATAAACTCAAGGTCTCCTAAATCGAACCAGAGTGTGCGAGATGGGCTTGGCTTATTGTTCTCGGTGACTTAGGAATAAGTAATGCGGGACTGGCCCCGGCTTTAAAAATTGTGGATTCTTTCACCACGGCGCCATGTGGACGCTTGCGAGACGGATCTCGGCTTTTTGAGGTTGCATTGTTGAGAAATGCTATCGAACAACTGGCCAGGAAGTCGATGTAATACCGATGAGTTCGGTTGGGACTGAGAACATGTCAGTTCGGCTTGGAGGGACGGACCCTGAATTTCAGAGGAGCTCGGTTGATGAGCTAGAAGAGGTTTGAGCGCAGTATAGCTCGGCAGAAGAGTGTATTCTGAGATGACGGACTCAAGTCGATGAACTGAACTTGTCTAACCAATTGAGCTGTTGTACCGAACTGAAACATGAAATTCTGAACAAAAACTGATCTGATCTGAAATGAACTGAATATGACATGCTGAAATTCTGAGCCGAACTAAAACTATGAATGAAAACTGAAATTCTGAGTCGAACTAAAACTCTGAATGAAAACTGAAATTATGAGCCGAACTAAAACTCTGAATGAAAACTGAAATTCTAAAATTATGAATTTGACGAACTCAAGTTGACGAACTGAAGCTGAGTCGAACTGAAATCCGAAATCGACGAACTCAAGGTATTGAACTGAAATTCCGAACTCAAAACTAATGAACTGAATCTAAACCGAACTGAAATCTGGGTCGAGATGAAATTTTGAACCAAGCTGATATTTGAAAATGACGAACAAAAGCTGCTGACGAGCCGAAAATAAGGAACTAAAGCTGTCTGAACTGAGACTGACAAACTCAAACTGACGAGCATGTCAATAATAGTTGAGTTGGGCAAGGTGCTGAAGTGTGAGTTTAAGTGGGAGCTCAGAGCTCGTCTAAGGAGAGCTTCGGAGAAGCTTCCTTCTCTTTTTCCTCTTTTTTTTTTTTTTTTTTTGTTAAATGCGAACGTTAGTTCGGCTTGGAGGAGGGACAGACCCTGTGACAATGGTGAATATTCTTTGAATAATATGTATAATTTTGATAGATAATACCTGGGTATCAAGGAGTTCGGGTAACGAGCTAAGAATAGCTTCTAGATCGGTGAGCTTAGAATATTCATGTTGCACTGTTGCTTTGAAACTTTGGCTTAGGTCGGTGAGAGAACTGAGAAAATTTTGAACTTGTGCTTATGCGGGATGGATTGACGAGCTGAAGCTCTTAATGGTTGTCGCTACTTTATATTGCTGAAACGTCTTTTAGCCGGAGCTATGATTTTTGTAAGTCCTGCAACATTTCGATGAAAGCTTGTGAAGAGATCTATTTTCTTTGAGATTTTAGATCATAGTATTTGGTAAAGAAGATGACAATTAGCTTTTGTTGCTGGTGCGGGATTGCTGAGCTCGGCTCTTTGATATTCAACCCTTGTAAAGTGAAGATCTGAAATATTGTGTTCTCTCTCGATTTACTCTATCCATCTCTTTGTGAACTGGATGAGAAGCAGATTGACGAGGTGATTCCGAACTGGTTTTTAGATTCCGGTAAAGAGCTGGTGAAGCCGTGCGGCGAGCTGAGATGGTGATGGTATCAGCTAGAATAATTCTTCTTAAACTCAGTGAAGTATTTCTAAGATGTCATTGGATATTGAAGCTTGGGAATTGTTGCGAATCTCTGAAGTTTTCCGAGTCCAGAATGAACATGAAAGCTCTTGAGGTCGGCGATGGAGAATTTCAGGAATTAATTTTTGAAATCCAAAAGTGGAAGCAACATGTTGTTTGAAGCAAGGAAGAGGGAAAGGTCTCTGAGGTACTTTGATGGAGCTAGCGATTGAGACGGTTCAGGTGGGAAATCTGCAGTTCGCCGGCAGTTTGCAGGTCTGGTCAGGGTCATCGGAGATTCATCTGAGTTATCGGGAAAGGTTGTTGTTGTTGCAGGAGATTGGGCTTTTAGTCTTCACATCATTCTGGGCCAGCTGTTGGGCCTAGTATTTCATAATATCAGATGGGGCCAAAACCTGTTCAAGCCCAACAGAAAAAGAAAATCTGATTTCCTTCCAACGACAGCTTTGTTTGCCGGAGCAAAGGCATTCGATTTGGCGGGGTTAACATGCGGTGATGGAGGTGAGGGCGGAGCTCCGGAAAGCTTCGAGTCATGACGGATTGTTGTTGTACGGCGATGAATGAATCTGAGCTCGGTGAGTCTTGTCCCATAGCCCCTACTCCTCTCTTTTTTTTTTATTTAAACAAAGGAGCTTTGTCTTTGAATGAAAAGCAAATTAGCGATAGGAGAGATGCAGACATCATCGACTCGAGTCAGAAACAAAGAAAAAGTCAGATCATAAGTCAGTAAGTTCCCAATCAAGAAGCATGAGAGATAATGATGTAATCTTAAACCAAGATGATTAATGCATTGATTCAACCAACAACATCAAAATAAACAAATTAATGAAAATATGTGACGATGTATAATTCACGATGTCTTCCTTTGCAAAGGGCTCAAACAGAAGTTAGAGATAGGATAAGAAAAATAATATAGTTGTTTCGAATACTCGTACTGCAGCCGTAATTTTTGACTAAACAAACTAGGATGAACCGAACTGGTAAAAGATTCACTTATCAATTTTTAATTAATGATTATGAGTCCATGTATTCAATAAGCGTGAAAAGTATAAGTATAATTAATAACACTTATTTTTGATTGATGACGGATGACGGATAATGGTGAGATCTGGAGATCGGCTACTTTGTACTTGAAGAAGACGTTGTAGGTGATATCGTCAAAGATACATGTTAGTGATCTTAATCGGTAGAGGCAACGAGAGAATAGATCGGAGATACCATCATCCGATTTAGGGTTTTTTTAAGAATCTCACTCGCCGTCCCTTACCTGGCGCGCCAATTGTTGATACCGAGTATCACACAAAGAATTTAGAGATTTTATTAATGTTATAGCTGAACTCAAGATGAGCTGCCTACGTACCCCTGAAAAGGGATCAAGCCATTCGTAGTTCTGTTATTAAAGGGATCAAGCCACGTCGTTCTTGGCCTCGTATTCGCCGTGAAACTGGTTAGCCACGAGTTGAGAGTCGCAGTAGGCGTGTATGTGCTCGGCGCCGATACCTTTGGCAAGTCGTAGTCCGGCAATCAATGCTTCGTACTCGGCTTCGTTGTTGGATGCCGGGAAGCCGAGTCGAAATGACTGCTCGATAACTTCTCCTTCGGGTGATTTAAGACGAATTCCGACTCCGGATCCTTTATGAGACGAGGAACCGTCGGCGTGAAAGATCCAGGGTTGTACGACCGGATTAGCTTCAACAAGCTCCGGTGGAAGTTCGACCAAGAAATCTGCTAGGACTTTAGACTTCGTTGCAGTTTTTCCTCGGTATTCGATGTCGTATTCACTGAGTTCGATGGCCCACTTGGTGAGTCGTCCGGACTCACTTGGGCTATGGAGGAAAGTGCGAAGAGGGTGATCGGTTAGGACCACGATCGCGTGAGATTGGAAATACGGGCGTAATTTCCTTGCAGAAATAACTACGGCGAAGGCGAATTTCTCCAAAGTCGGATAACGATACTCCGATCCATCGAGGGATTTGCTTGTGTAGAAAATTGGCTTCTGCTCGCCACGATCTTTTCGAACAAGTACACTACTGACTGCGAACTCCGAAATCGCGATATAAAGATAGAGTGTCTCGCCGGTTTCCGGCTTAGATAAGACTGGTGGAGTGGACAAGTATTTCTTTAGCTCGGCGAAGGCCTCTTCACACTTCTCATTCCATTCGAGGTGCTTGTTACCGCGAAGAAGTTGATAGAAAGGCAAGAACTTGTCCGTCGATCTGGATATGAATCGATTAAGTGCTGCGATACGTCCGGTGAGTCGCTGAACTTCGCGTTTGGTTGTCGGTGATGGGAGCTCGAGAATAGCTGCGATCTGTTTTGAATTAGCTTCAATGCCTTGCCGTGTAACGATGTATCCGAGGAACCATACTGGTCCAAAATATCGAAACATGTGCGAAGATGGGAGCTCGAGAATAGCTGCGATCTCCAGATGTCACGCCGAACGTACACTTAGTGGGATTAAGCTTCATACCATACTGGTCCAAAATATCGAAGCATGTGCGAAGATGGCCGACGTGATCGGAAGCGATGAGTGACTTTACGAGCATATCATCGATGTAAACTTCCATAGTTCGCACGAGCTGGCTCGCGAACATCCGATTTATCAGCCGTTGGTACGTTGCTCCAGCATTCTTCAGGCCGAAGGGCATGACCTTATAGCAGTAGATGCCGCGGTCCGTGATGAACGACGTCTTCTCCCGATCTTGCGGATGCATAAGAATCTGATTGTACCCGGAGAATGCGTCCATAAACGAGAGTAGTTCATTCCCGGCAGTTGCTTCCACAAGGCGGTCAATATGAGGTAAAGGAAAGCTATCTTCCGGACATGCCTTATTGAGGTCGGTAATGTCGGCGCAGATCCGCCATTTACCATTCTTGTTTTTTACGACCATGGGGTTTGCTAACCAATCAGGGTATTTTACTTCGGTGATGGATCCTGCTTTGAGCAAGCGCTCGACTTCGTCGTTGACAGCCTGCGCTTTCTCCGGTCCGAGCTTTCGGCGTTTCTGCTTGATTGGCTTATACGTCGGATCGATGTTGAGCTCGTGACACGCGATCTGTGGATCGATCCCTGGCATATCCTCTACCGACCAAGCGAAAGTTGACGAGTGCTGTTTCAGAATGTGGACAAGTGGCTCGCGGATGTTTGGGTCGAGTTCGGCACCGATTCCGACTTGACGTTCTAGCCTTAGCTCGTCGATACAAACTTGAACGATTGACTCCTTCTTAGGTTTTGTCTGCTGGACGACGAGCTTGTCCGTTGGTCCGAACGAACTAACGACACAAGCTTGGTTGGCTGAATGAAGTCTGCACTCATTTATGTAGCATGATCGAGCGACGGCTTGGTTTCCTCGGAGAGTGTAAACACCGTCGGGGGTCGGGAATTTCAGGCATTGATGGTATGTTGAGGCGACCGCCTTCATCGCGTGTAACCAAGGCGTACCGAGAATGGCGTTGTAGATCGCCGGTTTGTCGAGGATGAGGAACTGGATAATCTTTGCGACTCCGCCGAGGTTGATCGGGATATTGACCATGCCGACCGTCATGCAGCGTTCTCCATCGAAACCGGTAAGTGGCTCGATAAACGGCTCAATCCTATCTGATGCCAACTCGAGCTGGTCAAGTGCTTCCTTGAAGATGATGTTAACCGAACTGCCTGTATCGACCAGAATGCGGCTAACTTCGACACCGTCGAGGAGTAGTTCGACAACGAGAGCATCGTTATGCGGTTTATGCAACCCGATTGTGTCGGCTTCGGTAAATACCAAAGGCGTCCCTTTCGGCGGATCTTGTGGAGCTTTGGGCGCGCTAGCAGCCTGTCGCCTGTATTCTTTGATAGCTCGAACCGAGTAGCTGCAAGCCTCGATGGCTCCCATTATCATGTTGACGCGTTTCCTGGCTTTGGGAGCATGGTTCTCTTGTGCTCGGTAATCGCGATTCTGTTTCTGTTGTTCAGGCAAAGCAGGCGGGTTCGGTGGCGGCGGTGGTAACGCCGGTAAGGTTGGTGGAGTTGGCGGATCCTTAGTGATCGCGTTCTCAAGCTGCGCGTTATTCGGTTGAGGCATGTTCGAATGATGGAGATCGTCAATCGAGGTCTGTCTGCTGTTCTTGGGCGCGTTTAAGCGACGGAGGTCGTCAACTGAGATTGGCCCCTTTCGATATTGGCCGAGCAGGTATTCACGCAAGTGTCTGCATTCTTTGGTGCTATGTCCTCTGCGGTTATGGAATTCGCAGAACAAAGACTCGTCTTGATCTTCTTCGCCGCAGACCCATTTGTTGTTCCACTGTTTGGTCGGTTGTTGGGTTACATTAGCGTAGAACTTCTTGCGATTCTCATACCGTCGACCGTATCCTGACTGCGGTTCACTAGTTGTTGCTTTTGGACGTTCGGGTTGCTTCGCCGAATAGCTTCGCTCGTAGGCGGCTTCTTCTTCTTCTTCGACGATATAAGTGTTAGCTCGGTGTAAGGCATCTTCCAATGTCTGAGGGGGGTTGTGCGTGAGCGCGCTACGGAAGCTAGTCTTTATCCGAGCTCCTTTCTGGAGACAAAGAAGGGCGGCTTCGTCGCTGATCGTGCAATTGGCGATAATCGTTTGAAGCGCTGGATGAAATCGCGAAGACTCTCGCTTGCTCCCTGAGTTATTTGCCATAGCTCGGAGTTCTTGGTGTTCTGCCCGATGAACATCGAGAAGTGTTTGACGAAAGCTGTTGTCAATTCCTTGTAGCTGTCGATCGAGTTTGCTTCGAGTCGCGAGAACCAATCGAGGGCTATTCTTCCCAGGCTTTCCACAAACAATTGGCACTGGACCGCATCTCTCTCCTCGGCGGTTCTGAATTGGTATCGGTTCATGCAGATGCAGAATGACGTCAAAAAGTGCTTGGGGTCAGTATTGCCCTCATAGACCTTCATCTTAAGTTTTTCCATGTGTTTAACCGGTGTTCCTGCTATGCGCGGCGTGAAGGGTGTTTTCTGCGTTTTTTTAATGACGCGCTCAATCTCCGGAGCCGCGCTTGTTGCTTGGTGTATCTTTGACGTGATCTCACGCAGTTGAGTCTTCATTGCCTCGAACTCGGCATCTCGACTTAAATCTGATGCTGGTGCGTTCGCTGATCCCACCGCGGTAGACCTCATTGTTCCGGCCGGATCTCCGTCGGTATTAAGGTCTTCAATGATGTTCCGGACTCGAAGGGGAGTTCGGGTTTGACTGAGCTCGGCGATCTGCGCCGCCATCTGGCTAAAACGCTCCTTTTGTTGATGGCTTCGAACTGAGCGTTGAATACTTGGAGCAAAAGTTCGGTTCCATAACCTCCTACGGCTGCGGGGGTTTGCCCGGCTGTGATTCCAGCGTTTTTCCCGGGAGTTCCTCCTGCCTGCTCTGTTGGAGCGTTCGCGTTTTCTCCACCGAGAGGGTTTATTTCTTCCTGAAGGTTGGCTTGGTTCGTCATTGCTGATTCAATCTATTCGAAGTCCGATCTAAAATTTGAGAAATCTGTTTAAGGCCCCCTTCCTAGCGCGCCAATTGTTGATATGTGGATATCGACAAGGGACAAAACAGTACTTTAGATCGGAAGCTCGGTTTTTATTAGATCGAATCAAGCAAATACAACTGAGTTCGGTTATTTAGATGGACAATAACGAACTAAGACTTAATGCAACTAAGAGCCTAACGTTTTGAGTTCTCAGTCACTAAGTCTTCTCGGGAATATCTTGTGTTCTTCGATGTCGATTCATCTCCCTTTATATATATCCTTTGAGTCAGTCTTCAAATACATCTTCGACGATATGGGACCGAGAGGACTTTCCTTTTCTCTCGGTTCCTTTCCTTTTCTCTCCGAAGTTTCCTTTTTCCGTTAGGAAACTTTCTTATTTCGACCGAGCTCAGGAAAACCTTTCATTCCTTCGAGAGGCTTCTCACCGACCTCGGCCTAATGGACTGTACTCGGCCCAATGTTTCACTCGGCCCATCTTTCTCGGTACATCCCTTAGTACGAATGGCTTGATCCCTTTAGTACGAATGGCTTGATCCATTTAGAGATTTCAGTGCGGAGTACACCACTGTTTTTTCAAGAAGCTAAGAAGAATAATATCGAGTTAGTGTGTTTTGAAACATGTTTGGGAATAGCTAGAGAATAAGAGCTTAATTTCTTCACACTTGTCTTCCTCTCAGTTCATTGTTAGTTATATCTAAGCCATATTCACTCCTTTCACGGGCATTACTATGAAGATGGTCTAGCTCTGATTAAAATTCAATATATTTTGGTATTCAATATTCATTCTGTTGGATTGAAGATTTTGGATGAAGGACATATATACCGTAAGGTAAGCGTGTTTCCGAAGAAAAGTAGAGCAGTTCTTCGTTTACTTCTAGGGCACGTAATAAATGAACAGAGAAAATAAGCCCTAACAATTGGTTCAAAGTTCAAACTTTGTGAGGGGCATCAATATTCCGACAGAGAAATGAATGGATTATCGACCTATAACTCATTAATTAAAAGAAAAATCAAAACTATTTTTCCCTGACATTATGATGTACATCTTTAAGTAACTATCTGATCCCTAAAACTATTTCCCTAAAAGTAATTGTATTGGCTCATCATATATAACATCATATCAAAACAAGATAAGAGCTCATAAACCCATTTCCGCTCAATTGATAGTGGTTCATCCTCATTCCTCAACCTAAGATTTACGTTTATTTTCCGCCATTACGATCAGTTAATTATTTTTCAGCCCCTCGGATTATAACGAATCTCAGTGATGGCAAGTAGAAATAACAGTATCTATATGTATCTTGTAATATATGGTTGATGTTTACAAAGGATGTGAAATAAACTTTTGGGCCTAATTGATTAAGTCAAATGAAGATTGATATTTTATAGATTTTTGAATGAATGAGTGAATGACGGAACTTCTAAATATACGCCAGCATCTTTCGTCGTGAATCGTGATGTGGGGTTAAAAGAAAGCAAAAGCATTTTAAAAACTTAACTTCACAATTTCCAACGTAAGAAGGTGTCTTTATGCAACAGAACATTTTTAAAACGTGTAAATATTTTCAAGGGAAACAACAAAAAAGCGCCCAAGATTGAAAGCTTCTAGTTCTATAGATATAAACTCATAATGATCGATCGTCCATAAGCCAAATTAACCAAAATTGCTATTACTCTCCACTTCAATTAAACCCTTCGTAAGTCCCCTCTCGCTCTCTCTATCTCTCTAAGATCTATGCATGCATTGAGATGCTTGTGTCTAGATTAAAAATTATTATGTTGAAACTTTTGTATTTCATAGAAAGCTTTTCTTTTTAACAAGTCTGGTAGTTTATACAAAGTTGTTCATGTTCTTATTGAACTTGTAGAGAGAGAAAGTAATTTCACATTAATGAAAGTGTTAAGTTACAAAATGTGTATGATAATACACTTATATACAACCGGTTAAGCTAAAGGAAACTTAAACCAGTATTTACACTCTAATACCCCTCCCTCAAGTCGAATTCTTCAAGTAGGAAGAAAGAGACTTGAAAATTGATATCTTGATAGAAGGAGCTTGAATGTCTTCGGTTGAAGAGCCTTAGTAAACAGATCAGCAAGTTGATTTTCTGTTGTCACATGGAGGATCTTCAGAAAACCTGCTTTCAATCTTTCACGAACTAAGTGGCAATCATTTTCTATATGTTTAGTTCTTTCATGAAAGACCGAGTTGGAAGAGATCTGTATCGCTGATGTATTGTCACAAAACAAGTTTGCTGGACCAGTGACTTGAATATGAAGATCTTTAAGTAACTGTGTCAGCCAAACTAGTTCACAAGTAGTATCAGCTAAGGCTCGATATTCTGCTTCTGTGCTGCTTCGGGAGACAACCTTTTGTTTTCTGGATTTCCAAGAGATTAACGAGTCTCCCAGAAAAACACAAAAGCCTGTTGTTGAGCGCCTTGTATCTGGACAAGAAGACCAATCTGCATCCGAAAAAGCTTGTAGCCGTATCTCTGAAGATGCAGAATAGAACAATCCTCGTCCTGGATCTGCTTTCAAATATCGAACTATACGTCGAGCAGCTTCGAGATGATCAGTTCTTGGTTGTGACAAGTACTGACTGAGTTTGTGCACCGCATATGTAATATCTGCTCGAGTAATAGTAAGATATAGAAGCTTACCAATAAGTGCTCTATAGACTGTTGGATCGTTAAGCAATTCACCACTCTCTGCACTTAGTTGCACATTTGGATCCATAGGTGTTGCAACAGATTTGCAGCCAAGAAGACCAACAGAGTCTAAAAGATCAAGGCAATATTTACGTTGACACACAGATATCCCTTTGCTTGTTCTAGCAATCTCCAAGCCAAGGAAATATTTTGCTGGACCAAGATCTTTTATTTTGAAAGCCATTGCAAGAGTAGCTTTAAGATCCAAAACAGCTTTGTCATCATTGCTCGCTATCAATATATCATCCACGTAGACCAGAAGAGCAATGAAGATATTTCCTGATACTTTGACAAACAAAGCCTGTTCTGTCTCGGACTGAACAAAACCATCTTGAAGAAGCACATCTGAAAACTTTTTATTCCATTGGCGAGATGCCTGTTTCAAACCATATAATGATTTGTGAAGTTTCCAGACTGCATTCGGTGGAAGTGTTTCACCTGGAGGAGGAGTGTAACCAGGTGGAAGATCCATATATATTTCTTCTTCGAGATCACCATGCAAGAAGGCGTTTGTTACGTCCATTTGTGTGAGAGACCAACCAAGCTTTGCAGCCAAATCCAGTAACAACTTTACAGTAACAAGTTTGGCAACAGGTGAAAAAGTGTCAATATAATCAACCCCTTCTTGTTGAGTGTACCCTTTCGCCACCAAACGTGCCCTGTAACGATCCACTGTACCATCTGGATTATGCTTTATCTTGTAGACCCAACGACAACCAATGGGTTGTTTGCCCTGTGGCAAAGAAACCACTGAGAAAGTTCCAGTCTTCACACACGTCTGGAGTTCCTCATTCATCGGTTCGTGCCATTTCTCATCTCGCACAGCATCTGAGAAAGTCTTTGGTTCAGACTCTGATGATATGTTCAATATGAACGTCTGATAATGTTCATTCAGTCTTGAGTAGTCCAGAACCGTAGACAATGGATGTGCTGTGCTACCCGCAGGAACTGGTAATTGTTGGACCAGATTACAATGATAGTTCTGCAGATAGGATGGAGCTCTTGTGGTTCTCTTAGGTCTGTTTGATTGAGTATTAACAGTAGTTTCAGACTCTACAGGGAAATCACTATTATCAGATATGGTTATGGAATTTGGTGGTATGGGAGTTTCATTTGATGGTGTGGGCGGGGAAGAAGTATTTGGTGATATGGGAGTTTCATTTGGTGATTGTGGATCAGGAATTGGTAATGGGAGTATAGTGTCTGGGAAAATGTCTTGTTGGGAAGTGTCAGTTCCATGAAATGGGAAAACCTCTTCGTGAAAAACAACATTCCTGGAAATAGAGATGGAATGAGTTTCTAGGTTGAGAACTTTATACCCTTTATAACCCGAAGGATATCCCAAGAAAATGGATTTTTCTGCCCTGGAAGAAAATTTGTGTCTATCCTTTGGAAAAGTTGACACATAGCAAAGGCACCCAAAGGCTTTTAGAAAGTTGTAATCAGGTTTCTTTTTCATGAGAAGTTCATAAGGAGTTTTGTTTTGAAGTAAAGGTGATGGAGTTCGGTTAATGAGGAATATAGCTGTTCTGATGCAATCAGTCCAGTATGAAATGGGAATATTGGATTGGAAGAGGAGAGCCCTGGCCACATTAAGAATATGTTGATGTTTTCTTTCAACAACAGAGTTTTGTTGTGGTGTCCCAACACAAGAGAAATAATGAAAAATTCCTTTTGATGAAAGAAGAGAGGTGAAAGATAACTCTGAGGCATTATCTGATCGAATAGACTTGATTTTCATTGAATATTGGGTTTCTACAAGGGTAAGAAAAGTCGGAAATACATGAAGAACATCACTCTTTGATTTTAAGAAGTATACCCAAGTAACCCTTGTACAATCATCCACTATTGTAAGAAAGTATCTAAACCCCTCAATAGACTCAACTGAAAAGGGACCCCAAACATCAATATGTACAAGATCAAAAGGATTTTGAGACAAATTGTTATTAGAAGTGAAAGATAATCTTTTTTGTTTTGCCAAATGGCATGTATTACAATGTGACCAGGCCTTGAGGTGAGATTTTGGGATAGAAAGATCTTCAGATAAGACTTGGATCTTGGGAAAAGAAGCATGGCCTAAACGAGAGTGCCAAAGAGTACTTGAATCAGAAGGTGAAATGTTGCAAATGAGTGGTTGAGTTGTGTAGGATTCCGGTTCCAGAAAATAGAGTTTGTTCTTTAAGCTACCCATTCCAATCATCAAGCCCGGAGTAAACCCCTGAATAGTGCAAAAAAAAGGGTAGAAATTAATTGAAGAGGCACATTGTTCTAGAATGGAACTGACACTGATGAGGTTTAAATGGAAGGAAGGGATGTATAAGACGTTTTGGAGAAGGATATTATCTGATAATTTGATGGTACCAGATTGATTTATGACAATCTGAGTAGCATCTGGTAATTTCACTGTAGTTTCTGAAATACTATCAATACCATCAAACAAACTCAAGTTGCAACAGACATGTGTGGTTGCACCAGAATCGATTATCCAAGCACTAAAATTAAGGCATGGTTCCTTCAAGGTTGTGCAAAGAATATTACCTGCTGATGTAGATCCATAGGAAATGTTCGGATTCTCACTGATGCTCGGCATAGAACACTGAGTTTTAGTCGTCAGTTGTTGAGCAAGTTGCTGCAGTTGAATTTCAGACAGTTGAGCCAGAGCTTGTGAGACCTGGTGAAAATGTTCTTGAACAGCAGGAGTACTTGTCACCACATTACCAACAATATTGTTCTTTTGACTTTGCGAAACTTGAGTTTTTGCATTGTTGAACTGTTGACCATGTTGCTGTGGGACATAACGTTGTTGATTCTGTGCAGGAGCAGACTGTTGCGAGTATTGTTGAGGAGTCTTGTATCCTGGTGGATAACCGTGTAGCTTGTAACATCGATTGACCGTATGACCTTGAAGACCACAGTAAGTGCACATAGGGCGTTGTTTCGGTTTATATCCACCTGATACAGCTCCAATAATACCATTTTGATCTGTGGAGACTTCATATCCTCCATTGTTAACTGATCTTTGATCCATTGACTGAGAATTCTCCATTTGAAAGATAACCGCATCAGCTTGTGGTGTTTGTTTGATCATCTTCTGATGTTCGTGTTGAATAACCATGTTGAGAGTTTTCTCTAAATCCGGAAGAGGACTCATCATGATGATTTGTTCTCTTACATTCTCATACGAATCATTCAAACCAAAAAGAAACTTGATCACGAAATTCCTTTCAAACAGATCCATCCATTTTGTATTCACTTCACAATCACATCTATCGCATTGACAAGTCGGAAAATCTTGAGCACTCTTGAATGATTCCCAAATCGTGATCAGTTTTGTGTAAAAAGTATTTACATCCAACGAACCTTGACGAAGACCGTGAAGTTGTTGCTCGATCTGGTAAAGACGCGGAACATTGTTTTGTTGAAATCGTTTCAGTAACTTTTCCCAGATTCCTTGAGCCGTCTTTACATAGAGAATGCTTTGACCAATAGTCTTTGAAACAGAGTTCATGATCCAAGATCGAACAACATCATTGACGCGAGACCAAGCCGCTGCATCACGATCACCATCGGCATGTTTAGGAAGAGATCCGTCAACAAAACAGAGTTTGTTGCGGCCATTTAACGCCATTCTCATCGACTCGTACCAAGAACCGAAATCGGATGCACCAGAGAGACGATCGGACACCAGAAGAAGACCTGAATGATCACTACCACCAAGATAATACGGATTATCGTAAGAATCGCGAGAAATCGCGGTCGGATTCGCCATGGGAGATGCGAATGACAAAACCACGAAAAATCAAGAAATCGATGAAATCGAGCAAAAAAGAAGCTCAGAAAGAAGAGAAATCTGAATCGAAACTTGAATTTGAGAAGAATCGACTCAGAATCAGAAGAAATCGAAGAGAAATCAAGCTCGAAGTATGAAGAATCGAAGCTCGAGTGAAGAACAAAGTTTGTTACGGAAGGAGAGAGAAAGCTCTGATACCATATTGAACTTGTAGAGAGAGAAAGTAATTTCGCATTAATGAAAGTGTTAAGTTACAAAATGTGTATGATAATACACTTATATACAACCGGTTAAGCTAAAGGAAACTTAAACCAGTATTTACACTCTAATAGTTCTTCTGTGTAGGTTAATTAATTAAAGAACTAATAATTAAAACACATTTTTCTTCTCAGCCGTAGCAGAAAATCAGAAAAGAAAATAGAAATGACGGCGGCTCCAGAAGCTGATTCGGTCAAAAGAGCCGAGGAGGAATGGCGTGCGGTTCTCTCTCCTGAACAGTTTAGGATTCTTAGGGAGAAAGGCACTGAGTAAGATCGAAATGGTTTTTGTTTTCTAGGGTTTTTGTTTTCTTGAGCTGGACGTTACCATTTTTTTTGGCTGATGATTGTAGGAAAAGAGGAAAAGGAGAATATGTGAAGTTATTTGAGGAAGGAATCTACTGTTGTGCCGGATGTGAAACTCCGGTTTACAAATCAACTACTAAATTCGATTCTGGTTGTGGTTGGCCTTCGTTTTTTGATGCTATTCCTGGTGCTATTAACCGAACCGTAAGACTATAAGAAAACGCTCATAACACTCTTATTATAAAGGGGATTGAATCATACTATATGCTGATACACATACCTGTATAATCTCTGGAGAAATTAGTGATCTCGTAAAAGTCTGGATCATTCATTACGTATCAAACCCCAGAGAGTGATCCATATTTTTTAAAATGGACCACTCATCTCTTAAATTTGGTTTAACATTAAAATAAATATCAAAGGGGTAGTTTTAAAAATTAAAACACTAAAAAGACAATGTTTCTCCAATTTTGTTTTATAAAACCAATTCTCCCTTCTTTTTTTTTGGTCAATTTTTTTTAGTTTAGGAAGTTCAATTACACAAGAAAAAAATTGTTTTGTCAAAAAATAATAATTACACACAAAAACATTGTTGTAATTAACCAAGTACACAGTACATTAATTATTAGAGCTAGTCTCGTTAATATTATCATGTTTTGCTTAAAGTGGAAATCACATTTTATCGGAGGTATTTAATTAACCGCAATATAATCTGCTCAAAGTTTAATTCCTAGAACTACTCTGCAAGAGCATAGATGTGCAGTTGTAATATAATAGGGGTCGAATTACAGAGACGAGATATTCGCACAATAAACTCTATAGACTTGAATTACGCTAAGTCAAAACAGTAAAATTGAAAGCAACAATGAAATCAAAACGGTTGTAAACTCAATGGAAAAGAATTAGGCTCAAGGTGTTTTTCATGAAATCAGAGTATGCAGATTAATCGATAAATCAGGGTTCAGAGTTAAGCACGGTTCTTGAACTCAAATCACGAAATTATAATTAACCAACTTCCGTTGCGAGAATTATCTAAGTCTAAATCTCAGAATTCCAAATTCCTTTGCAAATCCTAAAGACATAAATCAGCTGTAACGCTCAAGTTCGATGTGTTCACAAAATATTTAAACCAAACTCCTTTGCGAATAGATACTTTGCTTACCCTAAGTTATTTCCAGTTATTCAATTACACTTCCGTGTCAATCAATTAATCTAAGATCTAAGTTCTATGTGGCCAGTACAAAATTAGCTTTAAGAACAATATGCATAATATATCACAACATAATCCATTTTTTCTGTCACAACCACAATATGCATAATTATATCCTGTAAAAAAGTGCATAATAATCATATAACAACTGCATGCTGTAGAATACGTATCCTGTAGATTATATAAAAAGATTCGACTATACACATTTGAGTATATATAAAAATGACGAATAGATTAAAAACTATATTTGTTTTTTTTTTTGTAGGAGGAGAGAGGTGGAAAAAGACTTGAGATCACTTGCGCGAAATGCGATGGGCATCTAGGTCATGTCTTTAAAAATGAAGGTTTCCAAACGCCGACCAACGAACGCCACTGCATCAACAGCGTTTCACTCAAGTTCTCCTCCGCGATTCCGTCTCAGTAATAAACCGTTCTGGTTTAGTTCCAACCAGACCTAATTAAATCTCCTACTTCTTTTGTTCTAATAAGAACGTTGTCGTTGACTCGTTGTGTGTTCTTCGTTTCATCCATCACTATATATAATAAAGAAAGAAAACGCTCACTCACTAATCTTTTAGAATTCGTGTTTCTTCTCTTCAAATTCTAATTGTTTGAATTGAATAGTTTCGTATAATTGCACTATTTCTTGTGAGAAACTTTTTAACGTTTTCCATCGGCACTATATATATATATATATATATATATATAGAATTAGGCACATTATCATCAACAACATAATCAAAGAAGATACGAGTAAACCGTTTTCTCGTGAAAGACGATTATGAGACACAGTAGTTTTCTAGCGTTTCTTTGTTCTCTCCGGCCGGGCCGGCGTGGCTCCCACACCGACTGTATTCTTTTGATTTGTAGATATTTTAATCCAATAAATCCCAATCAGATTTGGTGACATCCATCGATTGGTAGAGAGATCCCAATTGGGTTAATTTCTCTTATTCCTCTTGTGATCATCAGTCAAGTCTGATATGATTAATCTATCTTTCGTGAATTTCTGAGCTATTAATTTGTTGATTTTAAGGTGGTTTCAACATCGCTTATTGATGGTGATTGTAATTGTATATACACATCACCAAACTGATGTGTGGGGTCTCTCGGCCTGGGTTTCCACTCGTACATGGGAGGTGAAATTTCAATATCAAAAAGGGATCAACACACTTTGCTTAATGCAATTTGCTCATAGCAATTTCTTTGGTAAGTGGAACCATTTTCTTTCTTTTTTATTCTAATGATCGTTCAATGGAACTTCAAATTCTCTCTTAGCTCATCTCCAACTCTATTTCCAACTCTGAACCTCTACTTAGAGTTTTTAGACATTTTTTAACAATATTTTATTGATTAATAAACAGTGTAGAATTGCAAGTTTTTTTGCTCCTCCAGCCCTGAACCTCATTAGAATTACTTAAGAATAAAAAATAATATTTTTATAAATTAAAAATTTTTACTTTTAATTTATTTGGGTAATATTTTTAAACATACTATATTATATAAAATCAAATTTATATTGACTTTTGTAAAAATACACTGCTACTTTTTGTAAGAAAAAATAAATATTCAATGTGTTTAAAAATTTCTCAATCATCGAAATTGTTATTTGAATATAAAACTAGTTTTGTTTATCACAGAATTAATGTTTGCTGTTTAACAAATGGGCCTTTATACATGTATAGAAGCCCATATAACATTACTAAGCAAGGGACGAATAAGATGATGACAGCTGGCCGAAGAACTAGGATCTAAAAGCATTCTCAATGGTGAACTCCATGAGGGGTTCACTCTAAATTTTTTATTAATAAAATTTTGAGAAGAGAGAAAAAGTCTAAGGAGAAAGGAAAATATGAGAGAAGAGAGAGAAAGCGGAAGAGAAAAAAAAACAACCAATAAAAACGTGACACGTCAGGAATGAACCCATGAAAAATCGGTTCTAAAAATCTTTTGGGAAAACCACCTCTTTAAAAATGCCTCATTTTCTATTTATTTTTAATGAAAAAATTGATGAACCCCACCTTAAAACTTCTTAAGAGTCGCCGATGGAGGTGCTCTAATAACTCTTTTGCAAGAATCGGTTCTTGTGAAATGTGAGATTTTTGATTTATTTAAAACCTAAAAAACTTTATAGACCCTACTTAAGAACCCTGCAAGAACCTGTGTTGAAGCTGCTTTTAGTAGAGTTTTTGTTTCCGGTGAGTTCTTATTCTTCTGGTGTAAAGTCCAATTATAAACTGGTGATTGTCTTCTTACTCCACGATATAGAGGTTTCATTTGGATTTTTGATCCTGGAATCACTAGAAAAACCAATTGCTTAAAAGAAGGAATAAGGTTTTCATTATATCGAATTGGAAGAACAACAAAGTCAAAATATTTCAAGAAGACTCTGATACGGAAGTATTGGTATCAGATTGTCGAAGTTCCAGAACTATTATTGGAAGCGCCGGGTTTTGTCATACGGTGTGTAATTCAAAAATTTAGCTAAGAGATGCTACCGACACATATTTCGCATCAGATTAAAATCAAATACAGAGAAGGAAATAATGTATTTCATGATTCGTTAGCAAATAAGACTTATATACGAAAAGCATCGTTAAAATTACATACCTGTTTTGTATCTCTTTTATTATATGATGCATATATCTTTTTTTTTTTACTTTTTTATTTTTTTATGACGCATATATCACTTTATATAATAATTTGTATTTTAAAAAGTTTGTATGACTTTGTAATCTTAATTTGAAATTAATAAAATTGTTTGCCATAAAAAAATTGGGATAACGTATAAGTTCCAAATCTTTTTTTTTTTTTAGGATTACCTCGTTTGTTTTTTTTTACCTTTTTCGCTTTTTCTCTCTGTCAACGTTAAAGCATCATGGCTGGTAAAGCAATATTTTGTTGTCTCATACAAACCTTTCATTCCATATGATTTGGACACTTACTTATCATAACCAAAAGCTTACTATTACCGCTTTTTACAAACTTGAAATATCATTATTTATTTTTAGATATATAACTAGATTAGGCTAACTATGTTCGATTCATACATCAATTTATTTTATTCTATAATTTATTTTTGTTATTTACACATAACTAATCAATTGTTAATTAAATCATATATTGACCATTGATCGATGATGATATGAATAAATACTATGGTTTCTCTAGAAGAAATCACTAAAACGTTTTTTCTTAATAAATCACTATAATCAGAGGGTAATAAATCACTATAATCAGAGGGATATGGGAGGAGCTTGAGAACTAGCAGTTTTTATACAGAAAACATTCTCACCATAAAGCATCAGCAGTGGATTAAAAGGTGAGACAGAAATGAAAGCAAAGCAATCTCATAAACTTTTTAGTTCCCATAGAATATCGCATGTTTTAGGTTTGGACATAAAACACAAGGCACATAATTCTCAGCATAAGAGATTAAAGACCTAAAGACACTAAAGATGTTGCTTTGTTTGCCGACAAAGCAGACGACATCTCCTCCCTTCGCTTGATAGATTCCTCCAGTCCCTGCATCTGAAACACACAAGAAAATGAAATTGAAAATACAACGGTCACAAATTCATTCACAAGTGCATCTTGATTTTGTTTTTACCTTCTTCTCAAATTTACTCTTCCATAGAGCAATATACAAGATAACCTTAGACACAGAAACAGATTATTAATTCGACGCGTTCCATGAGGAAATTCAATCTTTCTTGTTGATATATGAATATCACACAAGTGACAAAACAGTAATTTAGATCGAAAATTCGGATTTTATTAAATCGGTCGAAAATATAACTGAGTTCGTTTATGTAAATGATAAACGAACTAAGACTTAGGAAACTTAAGAAGTTAAATGAATGCTTTGAGTTCTCAGTCTCTAAGTCTCTCGGGAATTTCTTGTGTCTTCTGGTGTCGATTCCTCTTCCTTTATATACGGCTTCTAAATCGTTCTTCACGGGTTTTCTCTGCGATATGGGACCGAGAAGACTTTTCTTTTCTTTCAGTCGTTTTCCTTTTTCCTCGGCAATTTCCTTTCTTCTCGGAAAATTCCTTTCTTCTCGGAAATTTCCTTTGTCTACTTGGAAATTTTCTTTTCCATCCGAACTCGGGGAACTTCTCGATTCCTTTGAGAAGTTTCGACCGATTTCGGCTTATCGGGCTATGTTTAGCTCAAGAGCTTGCCCAGTCCAATTTTTCCGGTATAATTTCTTCGTAAACCAAACTTAATTCGTGTCGATCTCGATTTATACCGGAGAAAACCGAAGGTACGGTTTTCACCTCCAACATCTCTCTCCACACCTATGCCACATCTAAGTCACTAATAGGACGCGCGCGCCAAGTGTTGTTCCTGCTCCCTTCGACGACTCTACAATCACATATGGCAGAAAACAAATATAAAACAAAGTTTGTTTTCCAGTGGTAAGCTTCTCTGGTTCCTCATGAAAACAAATTTGAACTGTTTTGTTTGTTGGAAAACTTTAAAGCTTTTAATGATGTTTGCAGTTTAACAGTTTAAATGAAACAGAGGAGAAAAAAAAAACAAAGCGAGGAGTTTTATAATTTTAGTTGACAACTTCTCGTATTTTTGGAAAATTCCATCTAAATCACATCTCTCTTTTGTTTGGTAAAACAATCATATCTCTCTTGCATATTGTAATTAGAAGTCTTTTGTGTTATGTACAGATTAAGTTAAGGATCTTAGGTTAATATGTCAAATCAAAGATTTTGGGAATCATTATCAAAGTCTTGACCACTTAGAGGAAAGGATACGCGGCATCTACCTTGCCATTATTGAGTAGAAGACAAAATAAAATAAAACAGTAATCAGAATGTTTAATTTAATTTTATAAATTGATTGGCCCAAAGTCTTTTACATGCTTTAAAGATATTTAACGTACCCCAATGTTGATTCTTGGCTATTCCCAACTATTTGCCCTTGTCTACTTAAGATGCTGTAAAATTCAGGGCATAAATTAGTATACGTAAACCCTTTTACAAAAAAAAAATTAAATTAGTATAATTTAGCAACAAAAAGGAAAAAGAAAATAAGCAAAAAAAAAAAATACTTACAACTGAACTAGTGCCAAATTATCGAACCGACCTATCGCTGTCCAGTTTGGGAAATACTTTTGCAAAACACGCCTTTGAAAAAATTGGGCAGTGGCAAACATTTCACGTCGTGGTTGTGAGCTGAAACACATAATCATTATGTTTCATCAGTGAAAAATCAAACTTTTTCAGTAGAGATGTGCCTAATAATAGAGAGCCTGATATAAAAAGAAAAAGATCACAATTCACAAAAAAAATCAAAAACATCATTGTCCAAATTTCGTACAAATCCAGTCACCACTTAAAAAATCCCAAATAAATATAAATGATAGTAAACAAAAAAAAATTCATTATAATCCCCTTCTTTTTAAAAAATTTATTAATCAAATTTTCAAAACCAAAACTTTTAACCAGATTTTTTCGATCGACTAGATAGTCAAATCACTCAATCTCTCTTGTTACATACTCAATGAATATAAAAGTTTATAAATTTTGACCAAAACTTATTTGATCGTTTCAAATTCACTAAGTATAATACATCTCTAAGTTTTCAAATAAGACTTCCTTGATAAATTAGCTAATATTTTTAACAAAAGAGAAGTATTTCAAAAATCAACTACATCATTAAAATCCAACAAAAACAAATATACAGAAAGTTGAATGCACATGATCAAAGATCATATGTATAGACAATGTCATATCTTAACATATGGTTAAAGGTTATCTCTGTCAAAACCTTAAAATATGATCTTGGAGTCCAGTTGTGTTGGATATGTCTAACAAAGACACTATTACTATCCACTCGAGCTTTGATTGTATGCTCATCAAAATTATGCTCAACTCCAATAGTTAACATATTATTGTTAGTTGAATAGGTGCGTTCCATTTTTGCAGCTAAGCTTGTGTTGCCAGCCATGAAATACAATGCAGCTTTCACCAAATCAAACCTCTTATACGTGATAAATTAGCTAATTATTTGAAATTTACTTTAAATCACAAATAAAAAAATATAATATTAGATAAAATAAATTTATAACGAATATAAATATTTGACAAAATTAGCAAATATCAATTGATAATGTAATGGTTATGACAAAAAGATGATTTTTTTTCAAAACTTCAGTGATGAAGAAGAAAGAAGTTTAAAAAGATGAATTTAATAAATTTAAAGCGTAATTTGTTTAATTTATTAGACGTCCATAAGATATAATGTTAACGTAAATTTTATTCTATTGTTTAATTCCTTTATGAATTAGTTCTAGTGTAAAAATTAAAAGTTAGCAATTAATCAAGTGGACCCTTTAAAATTTTATTAGAAAATAGATCTGTAGGCCAATATTCAGAATAACACATCATGCATCTTATGTCTAAATTACCTGCCACATTATAATTTTTGAGGAAAATTTATTTATTTTATTTTATAATTTCTAGTCACCAAAAAGAAATTAACCACAAGACATTTTTCTTATGATATACTGATGATTACGTATAAGTTTTTCTCTAAAAAAAATATCAAACTTTAATCTCAGTATATTTTCCTGCAGTCAAATCAGATCGATCTAATAATGAAAATATATTCTGGTTCGTATCCAAGCCAAGATTAAAAACATTGAATTATGAGCATAAATGATGATAGTAATATTGCAAAATTGAACCGATTTTTAGTATAAACTTATCAAAATAAACAAAATTAAAAATAGGTATACATATGGATTGGGTCAAATGCAACACTGATGCGGCTCTTTCTAATGCAAATAATAGCTATGGCATTGGCTGGGTGCTTCGTGACCATACAGGTAACATGTTGTGGATGGGGGCCAGAAAAATCCCGGTAACCCGAACTGTTCTGGAGGCGGAAGTTGAAGCTATGAGATGGGCTATGCTTGTGCTATCAAACTTTAATTATAAAAGGATCATCTTCGAATCTGACTCCAAAACTCTAGTGGATTCCTTTTCGGAGAAGGATCAATGGCCATCCCTTCAGCCGGTGATACAAGACATTCACAATCTTCTTGGCAACTTCAATGACCACAAGCTCGCGTTTTACCCAAGGGAAGGAAACGATGTTGCAGATAGAATAGCAAAGGAGACTCTTTCGTTTACGAATTATGTCCCTAAGTTGTATTCTTCTCTGCCTAATTGGATCAAACCGTTTGTTGAGGTTGATCATCTATGATTGTAATAAACATTGTTGGTGCAATAATAGTTGATTTTGAGCCAAAAAAAAAAGTATATATATTGTTACTTTAAAGTTGACAACAAAAACAGGATTTGTGAACATTTTTCGATTATAAAACCATTTTTCGTTCTTCAAATGAGAAATTACTTAGTTATGTTCTCAAACTTATCTAAAAGGCTCGTGAGCTGAACCGTGAGGTTCACCAGACGGAAAGCTCGGCCCGTGAAAGAACATGACACGTGCTAATATTCAATCCTTTACTAAACCCGACGAGAACCGGTTTCCGGTTTAAACGTCAGCAACAAGAGACCCAAAGATGTCGTCTTCTACAATCAGAATCCATCTGTGTGGCTTGAAACGCTTCATTTTTATCAGTCTGCAGATATATCCACAAAAATAAAAGTAATAAGATTAATTAACAAAAAAAGAATCTTTTTCTCTCTCTCTGGACATGAAATTTCCCTCCTTTTACTCACTCTCTCTCTCCCTATACATGTATGTAGATACGTATACGGAATCATATATCTGGAGACACACAAGGCGTTCTCGTCTCTGACGTGGTCTATTGTCTTCCTTAGCTTTAGTCAATTTCTTCTACTTGAAACGCAAAGCAGGAGTTTTGTTCTGTAAGATTATCCTGTTGGACGAAAAACATTAAAGTTTGAGTTTTTAGGGTTTATGGTTGACAAAAGTGAATGCCTTTAGGCTTTAATTCTGTGGATTCTATCTCGAAATGGCAATTAGTACTATGTTGGGGTCCATCTCTTGTTGCCCCTCTCCCAAGGTATTTCCTGCTTTCTTCTTCTTATTCTTCCGCTTGCTTGAAATTTTCTAGTATTGTGCATGTATTGTATCTCTCTCGTCTGAGAAATTCTTTAATTGGTGATAGTGATTCCTGTTTTGTTGAAACTTGGTTCTGATTCAGGGTTCTAATTTGATTGCAGGGGTATGAGGTAGTTAAACAACACAGTGGTCGATTAAAGCATTGTGTATTCACGGTGAAATCGTGTGTTCCTGTGTATTCGGAAGGCGTTAGCTATAGGATCAAGTTGCATTCTTTTGGGGGTAGAGATTTAGTTACAAGAAGGGTTTTTCTAGATACTTCCAGAAGATTTAATTTCCGAGGTAGATGGTCCGAATTCTCAGGGAGGAGAGTGCAGACTTATGCAGGAGTGGATGTTGCAAGTGCGGTTGATGTAATCAACGATCTTGGATTCGATACTTTGACTTTCTTGATGGTCACTGTTATTATTGTCCCTGCGTTCAGAGTCCTCAAAGCCAGTCCGGTATAACAAAATGCTACGCGGGGTTGGTTTATAGTCTCAGTTATAAATACTTGGCGTATAACTATTTGTAATTTTTGATGGTTTTGCTAGATACTTGGTTTCTTCTTTGCTGGTGTTGTACTCAATCAATTTGGTTTGATTAGAAATCTCACAGATGTTAAAGTTCTCTCGGAATGGGGGATTCTTTTCCTGGTAAGCATTCGAATAACAATGTTCATTGTGTTGGCTGAAAGCTTTATGCATTGAATAAGGGGTCATGATTTGGCTTGCCCTAATTGTTTTTTTGCAGCTCTTTGAGATGGGTCTAGAGCTATCACTTGCACGTCTGAAAGCTCTTGCTAAGTTTGCTTTTGGCATGGGATTATCTCAGGTTTGGTCCTTATCAAAGTTCCCAAGTTGTCTTAAACCGCTTACATTCCTTCCTATAACTTCACTTCTGTCAGACAAACATCTCAAGAATCAAGAATCTCTAGGACTCGATTTCATTATGCAACTTTAAAGACTCTATCATAATTTCCAGATCATTATCTGCAAAGGATGTCATACATTGTTTGTTCTCACCTTACGTTGTTCTGTTTTGCTTTGATTACTTTCCCTGTTGTGAAGGTTTTGTTATGCACGCTTGCTTTCACCGCTTTTGAACTCCCACCAAATGGAGCCATAGGAACAAGAATTCTCGAATTCCTCTTTCATTCAAGGCCTGACCTGGTAAGGCCTTTCACTTGGGATCTTCTTAAGATGCTCTTGGCAATTTAATACCATTTGTTCCATGTAGTTCAAATCCTGAAAATTTAACAGAGGCCTCTTTTCCCAATGTGATCTGGTCTAATAACGGTCATTCTCCGATGCTTTATGCTATGCTTTTAGAGCTATATCCTAATATGATCTATATTTTCGATAAAAATCCAGGTCAACATCAGAAGCATTGATGAGGCCATTGTCATTGGCGCTGCTCTCTCATTGTCTTCTTCAGCTTTTGTTCTACAGGTATATTAGCACAGTTGCAATACCTCAAAGTCATATTTCCAGGAAGACTAATCAAGATTGAGTAGGCTTCTTTCTTATTACCGTATTGACAGTTTCAAAATGTATAGCTTCTTGCAGAAAAGGGTGAGCTACCTACAAGATTTGGCTCGGCAACCTTGGGAATTCTTCTTCTACAGGTTCTGCTTATCCAGTATAACTTCTATCTTTTATTTAATGTTTTCTATCCGATATTCCATGAGTCATGAAACTTTGGATTTGGGAAACGAATCTCCTAACAAGAAACAAAAATATGCAAGCACCTTAAGTAGACTCAAAAACTTTCTCTTACTACTACTGCATTGGTTTCAGGATATAGCTGTTGTACCGTTACTGGTTGTTCTTCCGGTGTTGGAGAGCCAGGTACTTTAGCTATCTCCTTCTTGACTTTTGTGGATTATTTGTTATAATGGTGAAAGGAAAAATGATGTGAAATCACTGACAACTGAGATGAAGTCATAAGAGCTGCTTTAAACTTTGATTAAGACCATTGCACTTAATATCTTAATCTCCGTAACTTTGCAAGACTCTTGTTGGGGAAAGCATCTTGCCGATGCTTGCAAAAGAAAGTGCAAAGGCTCTTGGTGGGCTGGGCATTCTCTCCCTTGGAGGAAAGTTCTTTCTCCGTAGAATTTTCGAGGTAACTTCTTTCAAGTTTTATTACTTTAAAAAAACCTATTTCCTTAACTCCAATTATTAAGTGAGTGAATAGAGGACAACGTTTTATTTGGTGCAGTGCTTAACACTAAGCACAAAACAATATTCAGGTTGTTGCAGAAACCAGAAGCTCGGAAGCTTTTGTGGCCCTTTGTCTTCTCACAGTTGCTGGGACTTCACTTCTGACTCAAAAGCTTGGTTTCAGTGATACGGTTTGATTTCATTTCCCTTCAAAATACAAACTCTATCAATATCCTCACTCTAATGTCCTAACTTAGTTTTACTCTAAAGCTTGGTGCTTTTCTTGCGGGAGCACTCTTAGCGGAAACAAATTTCCGGACACAAATCGAAGCTGATATTAGGCCATTTAGAGGTTTACTTCTTGGTTTGTTCTTTGTAACTACAGGAACTTCCATTGACATGGAGGTAAAGTGTTATTTTGCATAGCAAAAGTTTTCAACTGTTTCCGCTGAAACATATCATGTTCATGATGTGTTAAAATCTTTTGCAGGTTCTGTTTCGAGAATGGCCTAATGTCCTCTCACTCTTGGGTGGTCTGATTGTGATCAAAACACTGATTATAACCGCACTTGGTCCCCGAGTTGGACTCACATTACAAGAAAGCGTAAGAATTGGTTTTCTTCTCTCTCAGGGAGGGGAATTCGCATTCGTTGTGTTCTCTCTAGCCAACAGGTTTTTTGTCTAGCTCCCATTATCATTTGCATAAACATATCATTAGAATCCGACATTTTTCTGTCTAGTTAGGTGGTCATGATTGTTACAATGCAGGCTAGGAGTGCTTCCACTTGAGCTGAACAAGCTGCTGATTATCGTAGTTGTTTTGTCTATGGCGTTAACACCTACGCTTAACCAACTTGGAAGAAAAGCCGCCGATTTTCTTGATGAGAGACTTGATCCCGGAGAGGTAACTTTCAAATTTTAACTGCTGCACTTGTATGGAAAAAATAAGATTTGTATTCATCAGGAATCTGTTAACATTTCTGCAGAGAATAGGTGAAGATGTGAACTACGACGTTAGTGAATCAATTGTCATCATTGGATTTGGACAAATGGGTCAGGTAAAAGTTAGCATTTTTTTCCCCTGGAAAAGTTGTGCTAAGTGGTTTCTTATCGAATCAATATGAATTTGCAGGTGCTGGCCAATTTTTTGTCAACTCCGTTGGTCTCAGGAGTAGATAGTGACCTTGTGGGATGGCCTTATATTGGTTTTGATCTAAATCCTTCTGTAGTTAAGGTCTGAAACTGATAACAGACATTTTTTGTTCCTCACCTGATCAAATTGTTTTTTCCTCGTTATAAACTTGTTTTTTTTTTGTGTGGCAGGAATCAAGGAAACTCGGTTTTCCGATATTGTATGGAGATGGATCTCGGCCATCAGTTTTGCAATCAGCAGGTGTTTCATCTCCTAAAGCAATCATGATAATGTATAAAGGCAAGAAGAGAACCACTGAGGCTGTTCAAAGACTCCGCCTTGCCTTCCCTGCGGTTATTTCACTCTTCCTCTAAATCAATTAAGGTTCTGAATGGTAGAATTTGCAGAAAATGAAACACTAAAATCAGTCAGGACCTAAAACCTTCACAAAATTCTAATGAAACATTAAGTTAAGTGGCAACAATTGTTTGCTTGGGACCTAAACTCTTGGTTGCTGTTAACTTACTACCAGACTCCGATTTACGCAAGAGCTCAAGATTTGCCGCATCTTCTTGAACTAAAGAAAGCAGGAGCTACAGATGCAATTCTTGAAAATGCAGAGGTAAACTTCAAGAAAAAGACTAATTCTTGAATCTTGATTACTGAGATATCCGCCTGATCGAGTTTGTTTGTTTGTTTGTTTTTGGGGTTTGGTTACGGGACACAGACAAGTTTACAGCTTGGTTCGAAGATGCTGAGAGGATTTGGAGTGATGTCTGATGATGTGAGCTTTTTAAGTAAAGTTTTTAGAGATTCAATGGAGATTCAAGCTCAAGATGAAATCACTGCTGCTGAAACCATTGCTGCTGCTTCACAAGATCAGCTCTTGAAGCCGATGCTAGTGAAAGCTTCTGATTTAAACGCAGACTCTGCAAAAGTCCAGTTCATGAAGCCAATGCAAGTGAAAGCTTCTGATTCAAACGCAGACTCTGCAGCAATTCTTCAAGATACAGATGGTTTGAGTCCGGAGGAGATTGATTCTTCCCTGAATATAGATAATGGGTTTGTTGGTAAAGCTGACAAAGCTCAAGAGTAGATAAAAAAGATTGGTGCTACAGAAAACAGATTCTAACAATTTTTATTTTATTTAATGAAATGTGCAGTGAATCTTTCCAAACTAAATTTCACATTTTCTAATAATCTTATTTAAAGCTATCTTCACCAAATATTTTCTTCAAAGTATTAATTTATTTAATCGGAAATTTCATATCTAAATTTTTGTATTATAGATTTTACTCACACAAAAAAAACTCATTAAAAAAAAGAAAAAAAACCCCTAAATGAAATGTATTAAATAAAATATTTAATTGACAAAAAATAAATATTTAAATTAAAGGGATAAATAATGTTTTCAGGAAATTTGTTTCAATTCAGTTGAATTAAAATTCCGGTTCGGTTGTTCGGTTTGAGCTTTAGGTAGAGTGTAAGTGAGATTATCTTGCTGTTTTACTCTTCTCCATATGAACGTTATGCCGTTTTAGTGAGCGTACGACGACGGCCAGTCTACGATTCGTTCTCTCAGAGATGCTGACGTCATTAGCCTCTTTTGATTGGTTGGTATGTGCCACGGCGCTTGCTGATTCGTCTTGCTCCTGTGTGCGAAACTGTAAGATGCATAAACAATTACGGGTAATGTAATTAAAACATGTAAATTTTCTGTATAGAAAATCTGAAAACAGAAAGCTTGATTTTGATTTCGTATTGCGATTGCGATTGCGGAGGAGAGAAGAAGTATGGCTCAGGCTGTAGAAGAATGGTATAAACAGATGCCGATTATCACTCGCTCCTATCTCACGGCGGCTGTTGTTACCACCGTTGGATGTTCGCTCGATGTAAGTGCTTCGAATTTTTTGGGTTTTTTTTTTTTGGTTTATATTATTGGAAATTCGAAGTTTTCTGAATTTTTACACATTTTGATTTGCTTTTGTTCGAAAAGTTTCTACCTTTTTTGTTTCGTTTCAAATTGTTTTTGAGTACTTAGGCTGATTTCATTTCCTCATGGACTTGAATTAGGGTTTCATTACAAAGAAAAATGAATACCTTTGTGTCTGTTTTGGCGTGTTTTGTTTTTGCAGATTATATCTCCGTACAACCTCTACTTGAATCCCACCCTTGTGGTGAAGCAGTACCAATACTGGCGTCTCGTTACCAACTTCTTGTATTTCCGGAAGATGGGTAAGTGTTCTCAGACAAGCTTTGATCTTTTCTCTATTTTCTTTGAAACCATTATTGTGAATTTCAGTGGCTGTGCAGAATCTCTGTATCTTTTTCATTGAAAATGTCTTGAGAACTGATTCATAGTGCTTATGAGTTATGACCATAGTATATCAATTCATATGCATGTTCTTGTCTGACCAACGAGATGAACTAGCATCTTGCCTTAATTCTGAAAGTTGCTTTTTTTTTTTTTTTCAGTTTTAGAAAATTTGACTTGTTTCAGAACCTTTAGGGTTGATTTGAGGTTTTGCATCACCTGCTTGACCTGTTTGTGTTTCTTTGTCACATTCTTAGCTATAGGTTACAGAAAAGGGTTAGCTCGTGATTATGTATTCAACTGCGTAGTTTGCTTTCACTTATTATGGAAATGGTTTTTTGCAGATTTGGACTTCATGTTCCATATGTTCTTTCTCGCACGATACTGCAAACTCCTCGAAGAAAACTCATTCAGGGGAAAAACTGCTGATTTCTTATACATGCTCCTATTTGGAGCAACTGTTCTTACCGGTATTGTTCTCATTGGGGGAATGATACCATACTTATCCGCTTCTTTTGCTAAAATCATCTTCCTCAGCAACTCCTTGACTTTCATGATGGTTGGTAACTTATATTACATCACACCACAAATCTAAGTCGTGCCAAAAAACCAGCTAACATTCTCCTCTGTTCTACAGGTCTATGTGTGGAGCAAACAAAATCCTTATATTCACATGAGTTTCCTTGGTCTCTTCACCTTCACAGCAGCTTACTTACCATGGGTGAGTTTAACTTTCTTGCTTCCTCTCTTTTGCCTAAACTCCCACCGGAAACGAAGAAAATAACATTTTCTGCAAAATTCCGGCACTTGCAGGTGCTTCTTGGGTTCTCTATCCTTGTTGGTGCCAGTGCTTGGGTGGACCTTCTGGTATATAAATAATCTCATAATTTCTTCTCTAATCACTTTTGATCTTTTATCCTCACACATAATCTTGAGTCTAACCAAAACATTACAGGGTATGATAGCAGGTCACGCCTACTACTTTTTGGCTGAGGTTTATCCGCGAATGACTCATCGTCATCCTCTAAAGACTCCATCATTCCTCAAAGCCCTATTTGCAGATGAACCAGTTGTGGTTGCACGGCCGGAAAACGTGAGGTTTGCTGCTGCACCTTTCGAAGAAATCCACCAAGACTGAGACTGACTCCGATCTTCCACGCTCCAGACGTGAACACCAACTTAGTTCAGCTTTTTGGTCAGATATGTATATGGTGAAAAGGAAGATGATACACAAGTCTGTTGACTCTGACACCTTAGTTGTGAACTCCACACACCGTAGTTTCAAGTAGTTGGGTGTTTTTTGGTTCCTTCTCTTTTCTCTTATCTTGTTGTGTATACAAATTTGCTTTGCTCTTAGTGCTTATGGATATGGACCGGACTCAAATTGTACACAAATCCTTCAAAAATTGTGGCGATGTTTTAGGCTAGTCTTAAATTTAATATGGGACTCAAATATCAGAACAATTATATCCCTTTTGGTTCTTTTGCTCCATAAAATAAGAAAACAAACTTCGGAAAAAAAAAGTTCTCTCAAATTAGGTTGGTGATGAGAGAGATAAGAGATGTGCACTTTGCACGTGCCAATAGTCACTTTATTTCTCGGTTCGATTTTATAGATCACCCATTTACAGACAAAATCATTGCAAGAAGCTCAGGAGACCAACCAGAAAAAGAAAAAAAGACATCGTTTTTCCAAAGTTTCACAAGCTTCTTTTGGTTACTACTCTACCTTCTTTCTATATTTAAAGTTAGCAGAAAAAAACAGTGGGAGCTGCAAATTCCCGAAAACATCAAAGACCTGTTCAAGCTTTTTCGGTATGTGGCTGGAGTGTGAAGTTTATAAAATGTTTGAAACTACGATCTCTTAACCAAAGAGATAGGTTTCTTCTTCATGTACTGTGCTCCATAAGCTGCAGTTGAAGCCATAGTCGTCGAAGCAACTAACCAGCTGGATACAAAACAAATGATACCAATAACAAGATTTTAGAACACACTGCATATATGTTATAACTTAAGGCTAGTGCTTAACCCAGGCTGCATTAAAAGAACCTATTTACCTTAGATAAGTGATCCATGTCTGTGTATCTGGATTCCCAAATTCGGGTTGAAGGATTGCGCCAGCAACTAGAGCCAATTGGAAAACCGTATTTACCTGTCCATAATCATGTTTTATTTATACCAATCAGTTATGCACACCAAAAATAGATGTTTGTTTTCTGTGTTCTTTTGGGTACACAAGTTGTCAAGTAGAGATCATACCTTGCTTATAAACAATGGTTCTACTTTCTGAGGGCTTGCACCATCGAGGTTGAAGAAATCACTCCACTTTTTCCACTGAAAGAAACAAGGCCAAACATGATTTTCCATCAATAATCTCAGCTTGTGTTATTGATAAACCATATGGTCGAGCGGAAGAAACAAAAAAAAAATGTAGAGAAACTGGTTGAGAGTTCTAGTTCAAAATTTTAGAGCTTCACCTTCCAGTCTAAGTTTACTGCCCTTAGGTAAACTGCGCCACCGACAAGTGCAACATCCCTGAACACCACAATTCCAACCAGCCCAGCTATAAAGCACAAATGAAACATGCATCCACCAAGATTGAGTTTAGAAATAGTGAAACTTAAGAAAATGCTGTAACCATAACGACTAACTAGGTAATCAACTTTGTCTGATTTTCTCTTGGTAAAAATCAAGTCACAACCTTCTAAGAAGCTGAGTGACATCGAAGGACTAAACTAGAAAGTTGAAACTACGAAAACCTGATTGCAACGGCGATCTCATTACTCAATCACGGAGCAGAAGAGATGAAAAAGGAATACTCACGATGTAAGAGATCCTTCTGCACCATTGCCAACGCAACACACCCAATAAGAACCTGAAATTGAAAACGAATAATCAAGAAAGCTGTGGTCAAACTGAAACTTGAACCAACCTTAAACACTAAACACATTGAGAGAACAACCACAATGAGCCCCAAGAAAACACAAAAATTTTTACCTTGTCTGCAAGAGGATCAAGGTATGAGCCAACCACAGAATCAATCTTCATCCTCCTAGCCACGTAACCATCTAACTACAAGGTCAAGAATCCAAACAAGTAAAATTCAAAACAATGTTATTCTTCCCAATACTCTACAGAGAACTACAGAGAAGATGAAGAATACCCAATCACTAGCTCCAGAAACAGCCAACCCTACGAAAGCAGAAGTATACATCTCATTCGAGATCATCCTACAATAGAATAAAAATCAGGTTCAGATTCTTCATTCTCTGATACTTTTATTCCCTGGGAAAGAGATACTTGAGACTTACCACCAAAGCACAGGACCCGATACTAATCGTGCCATAGATATCGAATTCGGCACATTCACAAAACTCTCGATTATACCACCATTCTCTCTGCTTCCATCTTCCTCCTTTGACAAATTGCGATCCACCGTCACCACGTTTGATGCCACCGATTTCAACCGTAACCTCGTTCTGCTCCTAATTCGATCCAATCTAATGTTTAGAGCCTCGACCTTCCTGAGAACAGCGCCGTCTCCTCGCCAATGCAAAGGTGTCGCAGACTGGAGCAGTTTCCAAGGAGGAGAAGACAGAAAGAGAGGTCCATGAAGAGGGACGAACCATTTCGAGAGCGGAGACAAACGGTGCGAGAAATGTGGGAACAGCGGCGAAAAAGACGGTTGGATCGGAGAAAAGACGCCGCCGGAAGCTGCGGCGGAGGCAGCGGTGAAGAATGGTCTTGTCTTACGGTGATTGATTGCAATTAACTTGCTCAGAGATCTGTAAATCGCCATTGATCATCTAAGCATCGTCTTCAATTTTTTTTCGGTTAATTCGAAGTTCGAATTTGTTTGATACCATTAACACCGGAGAGGCGAAGATGAATCAGAGACGAGACCACTAGGTTTTCGCAGGTTGAGGGTTTTGACTTAGGCCACGTGTAAGATCCAAGGAACACGTGGAAGCTTTTACACGTGGCAAGACCAGTCGATATATATATATATTATATTGAACCGGGAAATTGTGAACGTGGAAAGACCAATATGCGTATATAGACTGCTGCATATACACAGTACTACCTTTTTTGTGTATATAAACAATTGTAATGGAAGCCTCATTTCTCCTTGAAATCCCTAACTTTAAGAACGCACAATTTTAATTTCACAAATCAAACCAATTCATGTGACTATAACAATGTTTGAGGAGTAGATTGAAAACGTTTGTATACATCAGTATCAAAATTTTATCAAAAATTTAGGGCATTTTGGCATTATCAAAGATTAACAAAATAAGGTTAATTTATTCATTTTGGCTTTTGTTAATTCAGAACAATTCTTCTAAAAATAGGCGAAACAAGAAAATGAAAACAAATTAAGGGGATTTTTTCTACAAAAAAAAATTAGTTGACACTAGAGAGTTTGAAAATGAATTTACTGATATTTAATTAATCCTATTCATGATAGAATATTCGACATGGGAAAAAGTGGGATTGATGGAGGTGTAGAAAACTATGGTTCAAAAGTTTCAGATTTGGATTGTTCATGTATATCAGTTTTGTTTTTTTTCGACCATGTTTATCAATTATCAATTAGAATTAGAAGTGCACGACACTAACAAAACTAAGAAGAAAAAAAATGTAAGAATGAGAAATAAAAAGTAGTAACTGAAAAATATTAGTAACTGAAAAATATTAGTAACATCCACAATTATTAATACGAAAATACAGTCAATGAACCAAAACAAGTTTTCCGGTTCGGCATAAACCAATCAAATCAAGTAAACCCGGCCCGGTAAAAGCTGGACACTACACATACTCTGGCGAGGCTGAATCAAAAATCAACCTAAGTTGTTGCTTAACTTCATCTTCTGCAAACGTTGCGTCTATGGCGGATTTAGCCAATGTAAAGGTTTCTCTTTTGCTAAGACCTTCGAAGAAATTCAACGACAAGGAAAAAAACATAATCAGATTCTTGAAAAATGTTGTAATATAAAAACAAGATTATATAAATCACCAACAGAGTCAATAATCAGAAAAAGCTCTCTAATTGTTGGATTTTGCGCTCGTAAAAACCGTAGAAAGAAAAAAGAGTTTGGAAAAAAGAAAAAAAAAAACTCACCAAAAGAAGCAACAGCGAGAGAATACTCATTGGAGAGGCTAGTGGAGAAAACTCCGAAATCATCTGTGCATAGAATCAATGGATGCTTTGCATCGTAGAGATCAGCTGTTACATCAGATCATTAAGCTCTTGTAAATGGATGGTTTGATGTTGTCTTCTATGCATCAAAAAGAAGAAAGGAGAATGTGAAACGAAGAAAGTGAAAGAGAAAATCTAACCAAAATGGTGTATCTCGATTGAAGATATGGATTTGGTTATAATGTTGGATGATAAACAAATTTCAACCTGCAAAGAAACAGAGGAATGTCAAAATGTTTTAAAGATCAAACAAGAACACAATTTGTAAATGCAAAATCTATTTTACCGGAATCCGGAAAGATTTCAACTTTTCCCAATCTTCATCTTTCAAGAAACAGGCATGGCCAATTCGATGCGGTTTAAAATCAAGCATGGCTTGGATTTCTTTTGGATTGGGAACCTACAAAGCACTAAGACAGAGAAACTAGTAGACAATCTGAAAAATGAATTAAAAAAAACACATTTTGAAAATCGGTTAAGTAGGATTTTTACCTCTCCACAGTGAAGAGTGATGTAAAGATCACTGTCTTTAGCAAATTGTAATGCAGGCAAGAAAGTGCTCCTACAAGAACATGAAAGATTTCAAGAAGCAAATATGATATATAGATTGAAACCAAAGCAAGAAGATTTACCATTCTCCAACAAGAGGATTCCCTGAAAGATCGATACCAACAACACCAGCATTTCTCATTTCTAATGCAAGCTTAACCTTTTACAGAGATAAAGATGAGAAAATGTTATATTTTTGTGTTTTTAAGTATTTCGAGTAGCTTATTCCAACACTTACAGTTTCCATTGCGGACTCTGTTGTTTCTCTACGGTCAATACTAAGAAGAAGTCTAACACAAATTTTCTTCTTTCTTCGAATTCCATCACACGCATTGTGTAGTGTATTAGAATCAGATGCCGCAAGAAAATCAATATCGACTTCACTGATAGATCTTAAACCTTGGATTACTGCTTCCATGTAAGAACGTTTACTCATACCTATCGAATCGTTCCTCTTTACAAACAAAACAGTCTCATTTTTCTTCAAAATCTAACTTAGAACATTGCCAATATGCAAAACTGTGTTTTTACCTTTGGAGTTGTTCGTAGCTCGAGGTAAACCACATTTTCTAAAGCAAAGTCTTCTACAACCTGTTAAAAGAGAAAGATAGTTTAGTCATATATTTTGACTAAAACCAAGCTGCTCATGTTGTGTGGAAATTGTGAGATTAATTAGCGTTTTTTTTTGTACTTCTCTTGTGATCCTTGTCACGGTTTTGTGGTCAGTAGTGATCATATGGATCAAATCGAACAACTTGAAAACCTCAGCCAAAGATCGATCATCTAAAAACAAAAACGAGAGAAAGGTTTCACTTTTGAATTCTAGACCAAACATGAGAAACTAGTAAAAGGTTTCACTTTTGAATTCTAGACCAAATATGAGAAACTAGTTATGCCACACTTGAGTAGGATCAAAACTTAGCAAAATATGGAACATTTTGAAACCTACTTTTCCGAATAACATCTTCAAAATCAGCGAACACGATAACGCCTTTCTCACCTAGAACCCTAGCGAGCTCTCTGCCCATTAAAAAAAAAATCAAAAGATTAAAACTTTCAAATCGAATTCTCGTAATTTGATCAGTGCATTTTCAGATACAAAGGATAGAGATAAGAGAATAGTAAGAAAGTGAATGAAAAATCGAGAATTTTTGGGAGTTTACAGAAGAGTGGACTCTCTAATGGAGCCGTTGAGATGAGCATGAAGCTCGATTTTGGGAAGTGAAGTTATCCATTCCATTATTTTTGTTTCCCCCCTCTCGTAAGCTCGTAGAGAAAAGATAAAAAAAATGAGCACAGTCGTACGGATTAGACGTTTCTTTAAGGAAGACAAAACACAGACGCAAGTTTGTGTAAAGCCTGTAAAACTTTATCAGTTCAGTAAAAAATCAAAACAGTTTTCAGCCCGAAACTTCATTTCCTTACGGCCCAAACCACAAAAAAAATTAACAAAAATGGAGTTTTTATTTTTACTTGTTGATTATCCGCGCTACGCGCGGTATTTTTGCTTAATTATTTGTTAATGTTATTTTATTTAATAAAATTCAGATGTTGCTATTCTTTTTTCATCTAGTTTAGTATAATTATAGGCTGCAGAGGAATTTATTTATTAAAATGATGTTTGCTTGCATATTGAACAATTTAAGGCTGTTTTTATCCATTATACAATACATTCATGCATGATGATAAATGTGGCTGCTTAGTAGAGGTTGGGCAATCTTTTTTTGCAAACAGATTGGTCAATCTTTGTTTTTCTCCTCTTATGTTGGCATCCTAGTTGATGTCTCAAGTTTGGCGATGTGTAAGTTTATGTCAATCCTTTGAGTTCAAATGTGTAATTGTGAAGTATATATTCATGTCTATACCTCTTCAGCTGCGTTGTTATTACAATCGTGGCTAAACCTTTGTGTAATTCTAGCTGTATCGTTTTTGTCTATGTAGGAATTCAATGTTTCTCATTATTTGCTTGTAGAAGACAGAATGCTTACATGGCATCTTTTTAGAATAATTATTATGTTTGGCTTGAACACTCCGAGATATTCTGGCGGGTATGTAATTTATGCATTTGTTTACTATTTTGATTTTTGGAGAATAGTATATGTGTTTATGATTTTAAAGGTTTAAAAACAGTTATCTATTCCTCAAATATTAAAATAAATAAATGATAAATTCATCTTATTAACTTAAGAGTTTGGGTCTAACTGGTGACAGTATCAGGAATAAGAGGAATGATAAGGAAAAAAAATAAAAGGAATCATATGGAAAAAAATAAAAGGAATCAATACAGAGAAGGAATTGAACAAATTGTCACAATAAATGGTAACCAAAGACAGAAATAAATATTTTAAAATAATAAACATTCAACAATTAATAACTTAGAAAAACTTGACATGATACCTATAACAAATTCATATGATACATGTGTTATTTTCAAGCATCATTAAATACACATATGCTCTTTGCTATAAACTTATTTTAAGATTATGTATCGTTTCTTCTTTCTTTGTCGATGTATTAGGTTAGTGAAAGAAAAAAAATCTTTCTCACATATATAGAAGTAGAAGAAGACAAGGCGTGAAAGATTCACGTTAAATGTCAATTTTCTATAAATTTTACTTTAAAATATTTACAAAACAATATATTTTTACCAATTTTTATTATTTCCTTTCTATTCCCTATCAAATTTGATGAGGAATATATTTGTTCTATAATTCCTCATATAAGAAAGAATGGAAATGAATTATGTGTAACAAATATTTCATTTAACTGGTAAAAAAAATTAGGAATGAAGAGGAATACCATATTCCCAATCATTCCTGTACTCAAAAAGTTTTGACTATTTAAAATTACAAATTATTTATTCAGTGTAAGTACACAATTTAGTTTTTGGAGTCATTTTTTTTTATAAAACCAGTTGTTTACATATGTTTTTGCATATTCCAAAAACTTTTTGATTCATCTATTTGCTAGTGTATGGCAGTTGCGAACGGTGTATACTTAAATTACACTCTGATTTAACTGAATGAGGTGAAATGAGCGACGTACATTCTAGCATAATTCTTTAAAAGCTTAAACTCCACTCTACTGATAATTCTTTTTTTTTTTATAAACCTTTTTTATAGCCATTCATTGATTTGTTCCCTAGAGAGAAGCACCGTAGACATGCGAGAAATGAGGCTATATATTTTTTTTTTTTTGGGTCAAAACTTGTTGAAACGTATATACTATTGCGCCCACATCGTCTTGTTTCTAAATCTTAGACAAAAGCAAATGTATTCATCTGCAGTTGTAACACATATTCTACAATTGTAACCTTAATGTTTTTACATAGTTATCTCTCAACAAATAATCTGAATCATTTGAAGTACCTAACACCTTTTCCAAGTCGTTGAAGGAACAGATGGCCAATAATCATTTTCCTTGGAATCTTCTCCTTCCTCTATGAAATGCACAAGATGAATAATGAGTTAACTATCTAAGAAACTCTTCAAGTTTTAATCCTGTGTTATCCTTGGAAAAGCCTCACAAACCCAAACCCAGAAAGGAGAACAAATGTATATATAGTCTTGTATTTTCCTTGAGTGTGCAGAATATCGGCATGCTAGATTCTCGTCTATTTAATTGTATTGACACATAGAAGGTACCAGCAATAGTGACAACAAACACTCTGTATCACATAGAGTACGACGTAAAAATCAGCGATCATGCCTGACTGCAATCAATACCATTAGAAGTTTAGTAGGTTCATACAATTATCTAAAACAATGAAGAATTTGAGTGTATAGATATAGTCCTGAACACTATAAAAAGGACCTACCTTTTGCAGCAAACTTCTATTGTTGTAGCGTTTGAGTTTTCTTTATAGAGAGAGTATGGAGCTCCTTCTTTTTTTAAAAAAAAAAAAAAAAAAAAAATTGGTATAGATCCACTCGAAAGTGGAGAGCCTTAACCAAAATGTGTTCAAACCCGAAGGTCAATCCCGTCTCTGTCAGAGGAGATGCCAACCATCTCTCCTTTCTATGAACACGAGTATGGAGCTCCTTCACTTCTTCTTTGAGTCCAGTGTCACTGTCTGTTGTCTCTTCTTTCCTTTGAACTGTTAAGAAATGACCTCGAACTCAACATTCACACCAAAACTGCAATTGGGTAAAGAAAAAGCGATTAAGCATCATTATACTCTACTCATTTTGTACAAAAACCTTTCGAGAACCACATTACCATGAGCCAATAAATAACATTGACTAATTGTATGAATCGTAGAAACTCTTGCACTCTTCGGGTTCCACACGTCGATCTACAGAAAATCCACCGCCAGTGTTGTTGTTGTCCTTGATTGTCCATGTTTCTTTGCTGTATTTTGGATCAGTCACTATGAAAACTACAACATGATTGGAGGTTAAGTGTAAATGTTATATTGGACAATAGATAGGCCAAATGATTTGCTAGTAAAGTGTAGGTAAATGACATTGTGAGCAAAGAAAACCATTTGAAATGTTGGGCATAAGTTTCCATCAAAGCCTTAATCCAGTGGACAAAGAAAATACCATAATTTGAAGGAAATGATACACTGTATAAAAGAAAGCTTACCTCTAGGCTTTAGGCGAGTGGATTTCTTACACATAAATGACTTCTATCATTTATCCCTACAAATTAACTTTAATGGTTCAGAATTTTGAGAGGACGTATTCATATATATATAAAAACCAAGAAATTGATAAAGAATAAATTTTAGTTCCAGATAACTCAGTTTGTTAACAAAGCCGTGCCTATAAAGTAGAAAAAGAAACACTCGCCTACGGGTCTACTTGTTTTTTCAAAAATAAAGTGCCTAATTTTCTAATTAAATATATTAATTGTTAGTAGTAGAAAAAATTTCTTTGTAGAAAATTAATGATTATGTAAAAAATAGATAATTTATTAAAAAATATTTTAAAACACAATAAAAATATTAAGTCAACACATATAGTAATTTAAACAATTAGAAAATTAAAAATTTATTGTTTTCTTCTTAATTGAAATCTTACGCAACTCATTTATTCTTTTCACAATAACAAAATAATCAATTAATATGTTCTAATTGCTGAATATTTTTTATTACAATTTTGTTTTATCTAATTTAAATTTAGTTTGATTTATGATTTATACTAAATTTAAAGAAAATTTCAAATAATTGGTTAATTTATCAACTTCAAAAAAATATGATTTAGATTTTAGATTGGAATATGTTTAAAATTGTAGATATGTATTACAGTTTTATGAATTTTGAAAATAAGAATGTTATATTATTTATATGTATTATTAGTTTTATTTGAACTTGGAAAATTAATGGTTATTATTTGTTTTATCTGAATTAAATTGATTTTCTAAAAATTAGGGAAGATGATATATAAATTTATAGGGGTGTTTTTTTAAAACACCGCTCCCAAACTCTGGGCACGGCTCTGTTTGTTAAGTTGAGTCTTTGGCATCTTATCAATTTATAACCTTAAAACTCCAAAACGATGTAGAGAGAAACCTTGATATGAACACAAATGACTGTTAATAAAGATGTGGAAGTACCTGATGATCTTTTTCTGCCAATAATGGCAATGCTCTGTCTCACATAGATCACAACGTAAACATGATCGATCATATGCCTGATTGCAAGCAATACCATTAGAAGTATCGTAGGTTGTTGCAATTATTCAAAACAATAAAGCATTTGAGTGTATAGACCTAATCCTGAACATTGTATTGCTTTAGTTAAACCCAGATGGTTTTAAATTTCGCTTTATTGTTATAACACCATATCTTTGTTAATTCAGTTGACCAGGTCACTTGACCTCATATCAAATCTAAGGCATTACAGTCTTTGAGCTCCAAAAGGAAAAGAAAAATGTAGCCTATGATAAACACTTAACCAGAAAATAGCTAACCAAACGGAGCCAACATGGATTAATTACAGAACGACCATTTTAGAACTTACAAAGCAATTGTCGCGAACGTAGATATTGTAGTCCTTTAACTCCTTGTAAAGTACAGACAGACGCAGCTATTAGCAAAACCGAACATAAAAAAAAGGAAGTACACATGAATTATTCTGCAAATTTAGCACAACAAAATCTAAGAGACTTCAACTGTTGCTGGTAAAAGGAGACCCTTATATGATTTGCTACAGAGGGTTTAGGGTTTTTCATACTAATCATCGTCTTAATCAACGCGTACAAAGCGTACTTGCAACTAACCGTGTCTGAACGCCCAAATCCGCCTCCTCTTCCTCCAATCCGTTCCTCGTCAGCTTCTTCGTCAGAAGCTTTTTACGTCCTCCGTCTATGCCATCCATGCCAAACCTTAACTAAATTCCAAAGTTGATTTTGGGAGTTTTAAAGTATTATATGTGAATGGAGAGAAGTTGACGATTTGGCTTCTAAAAGAGGGAATTTGAACCAGTTGTGGATGGAGGAATGAGTTACGGACGGAAGAGAAAAAGAAATGACAAAATTAATGAAAAGAGAAAGAAATGAAAATTAACGGGTTAGGTTCTACACGTGTAAGAATAGAGATTTCTCATTGGTTGTTTGTTTGCAGATTTTGGGCTTGGCTTGTTGAAGACCGAATGCTTACGTGGCATCTTCTTAGAACATTTTGATTTGGCTGATGTGGACACTTTGAAGAGCCTCAAATTCTATTTTTATTAGAGTAGACTAGGGATTTCCCCGCCCTAGGGCGAGTGGGAATGAATAAAACTTGTATATTTATTATATATTTAATTTAAAACTTAATGTAATGGTATATTAAATTTTTACTATCAATATATAATCGGGAAAAATTTCAATAGATTCTTTAAAAGCTGAAAATGGTATATTCTTGTCTTTAAAGTTCAGAAAAAGATAATGTATATCATAACTAATTAAAATTAAGAAGTAAGTACACATATGACTGATTGTGGCAATCTTCATCTTAAAGACCATTAGTGACATACAACTATTAGTTCACACATACATAAAGTTTAATTTTCTTCCTTATATTTTTATTTTTTCAACCAATGGAAATGGACATCAGATATTTCATGAATAATATTATAATACTAATTTATATGGCTATAAAAATTAAGATACAACTGAAAAGCTATAAACAAAAGCTGCAAATTCTATCACGTACGGCTTACCTATAAAGTCAGAGAATACGATATCATCTTATAGGGATTAAGTGATTCATTAGATGTAATCATCCAAGTTTCTGTAAAAGAAAATTTAATACCTTGTGAAGAAATTAACTTCAAATTGTAGCTGAAGTAGTTTTAGATATTCTATGATTTTCTCATATGGTTTAAATATTCTTAAAGTCTAGCTAACCCTTTTATCCATGATTCTAAGTAGGCTCGTAGGCGCTTATGTGATAATTAATTTAATTTCGTGTGATAATTAAAGAAGAACAATGGCACTTAGGAATACGAAGAGGTCGACAGTAAATTTGTAAGAATAAACAAATTGTTGTTAGTTGTTACGAAGAAGAAGTCGAGAGAAGTAGAATGTACAAAAATTTAGGTTTGATCTATGCCACGTGACAAAATCTTGATGATGTGTAGCTTTGAAATGCTGTGATTGGATGATTATTTTTCTGATTATTTTTGCCTATGTGGCATAGCTGAGAGGCCTCCAAAGTAATCCCTTTTATATAAAGGAGATTTTAGCTATTTTTTTTTATACTAATTTTAACTTCAAAATCCGACTAGGGTTAAAAATTAAAAAAAAAAAAAACAAAATCTGATTGGAAGTTGAACCGAATGTGCATTTGAAATTTGAATAATTGACTCACTGTTCAGCATGGTCTTACTATTTGGACCGGATTTTCTATTTTTTTTTCTTATTATAAATAGATATCTATAAACATTGCGAAGATATAAAACATTCTTATCGATGATCACATGACTTATCTCATTGTAATTTGAAAATTGTAATATAGAGTTGAGAGCACCTCGCATGCATACGGAACAGAACAACATATGTTATGTTGGGCGGGTGAGAAATTAATTTAACGTGTAGATTTAATGGTAAAGTATTCACCAAATGGCAAAAAAGAACTGTTGGAATGAATTAATGGAAGTAATGGAAAAAAAGTCATGAAATGCGGAAAATCACATTTTACTTGTTTGTATAAAACGTCAAACTAATTTTAATTTAGGATTTTCCTATGAACTTAACTAGTTTTCGTTAGAGTTAAGACATAAAGTCTGCTAGTTGATTATCAAAACAGATTTCAGTTTGTTAGGTTAACTTGGTCACCAGTATGACCAAATAACGTTAACTTGCTGTATATATATGGAACAAAAATCTCTAAATACAGCAAGAAAAAAAACCTATAAGTACACCATTTTAGATCCATGTCAACACTTTGTCATCTACAGATTCTCTTACAATCTCAAGTAACCGAACCATAGCATCTCCTGGTGATTTCTTGAGCTTGCTTTCTTCAGACTCGCGTCTAGTTCTCGTTGGTACCTAGCTCAGAATATGGTACAAGAACATTCCCGAGAGAACGTACGTATGACTATGGGTTGCCAACAGAGACAAACCTCTTTCCAATTCCCTTGGAGCTCTTTCAAAATCTCTGGCACTAACCTCGTACTCCTCGATCAGTCAAAGAACATTGTTTGGTCCACAAATCTCCCACAAGATACGTGAGATCATCTCCAGTGTTCGCAGAGCTTCTCGCTAATGGCAACTTAGTGTTGAAATACCCCAACAACAACGACGTACCAAGTCATCATCGGTTAACGTAAGATTTGATCAAAACTGATTAGTTAATGTAATATATATATATATAATATAAAATGTAGTTGAACTATGTATTAGCATATAGCATCCGAGTTTGTGTATGAACTAAACTTATTTGCACTTTTGAATCTAAAAAGCCAATTTTCCTAAGTATAGACAAGAGAACAAATTTGAGAAAATGCCTTGTCATGAGTTTATAATTTGAAAAATACACTTTTTTTTTTTTGAAATCTACACTTATTGATAAGTTATGTCAAAATTAACCCTGATTTAGAATTTAAGTAATTTAATATTTAAATCGTAATATTTTTTACTCTTCTTTGAATTGGGATTTTAATTTACATATTCTGGTTTTTATTATTTGTATGCTGACCCTCTCTTTCAATTATTTGTATGCTGGTTTTAATTATTTGTGTATGAACTAAACTTATTTGCACTTTTGAATCTAAAAAGCCAATTTTCCTAAGTATAGACAAGAGAACAAATTTGAGAAAATGCCATGTCATGAGTTTATAATTTGAAAAATACACTATTTTTTTTTTGAAATCTACACTTATTGATAAGTTATGTCAAAATTAACCCTGATTTAGAATTTAAGTAATTTAACATTTAAATCGAAATATTTTTTTTTACTCTTCTTTGAATTGGGATTTTAATTTACATATTCTGGTTTTAATTATTTGTATGCTGACCTTCTCTTTCAATTTCTCCAACTAGCACCAGTTTGCTATGCGTCCTTTTCTTGATCTTTTCAGAGCAAATCAGTAATAGCTGGTCAGTGTATTACCGTTCTTGAAATCAATGAGAAACTTGAAGATCTTGATCAGTTTTTGTTTTTATTTTTTGTTTTTAAACTCTCTTGGGTCTAAATTCTTCTCTTGTGTTCAATTTCAGTTTTGAAGACTGAATTGTTTGTTTGTGTATCAGTCTGAAGAAGCTTTTGTTATCTTTTTACTGTGGCTGGTTCCTGAGTAAGATTTTGAACAAGAATTCTTAAAGTTTGGATCATACATTTGTAATCCTTGATGATGTGTATACATATATGCACGATTGTATACATTTGTAATATTTGAACATGAGAGATGCTTAAATTCACTGAGAGAGAGAATATGTATTATGTTTTATCCAGGTAAGTGACGATCAAACTAAAACGGAGTAAAAAGAGGTCTCTGTAAATGGAACAGAGGCTGAGCACATTGCAACAGTTAGAGTAGAAGAAATTTCGAGGAACAATGGGAACATTTATAAAGAAACAGCTCCAGAACAAGAAACCGCAACAAATGGTGAATCAGCACATGAAGTTGAAGTTACAAAAAAAGTTCTCGTTGAAGTGAAAGAAAAAAAAGAAATAGATAAAAACAGAAGCGGTGAATGAAAAAGAGAAAAAGGAAAAAGAAACTGTAAAGACCGTTAGTAATAATGAAGCATCACAAATGAAATTGTATACTTGACTGAAAATTCTAGTTTCTATAATTTGTCATTAGATAATGTCTTACACATAGAATCAGTTACTTGGTTTAACTACACAATTGAGAAAGCAAGGCACGACTAGATAAAGTTTGTAAGATTTTGTTTTATGAGATTTATGAGTAAAGCAAAGAGACATCTAGAGAAAAGAGTAATGAAAAAAGATCACAACGTGATTTATCTATTAAATCTTTAAAAGAAAAGAAATATAACTAAATAGGAAAACAAAGTGAGATTAAGTTATTATATTAATTATTTATTTCGAAATTTTATTTTTCATTTATGATGAAGACAATGAGGACATCAAGTCATCATCAATTTACTAAATTATGTTATTCCTAATTAAATTTTGGTCAAAAAAGTCTTTTAATATAGATCAAAATTGTAGTTTTCAAAAAAAAAACAGTATATTTTACTAATTCAGAAATTTAATTAGTGTATTTGCCAATTATCCCCATAGAAAACTTACTTATGGGGGGAGAGGGTGTGTATTCAAGAATGTTGGAATGATTTGTATTAAATTGATATATTCAAAAAAAGAATTAAAAAAAACTTCTAAAAACCTATTATTATTGAATTAGTGATTTAGCATTCAAATCCAAAATATTTTAAGAAGTGAACTAGTAGGTTTTTAGTGATTTTAAAATGTTTTAGTGGAGTTTCTTAGCTAAAAAACCAATGTTCAAATCTCATAGTTTTATGTGAAATTGTAAAAAAGAAATTGAACAAATCATATAATTTCTAATTCACCCCAAATCATATCATTTATAATTCACCCCAAATCATATAAAACTCTAAAACTCAAATTGTACAAAATATTTGGTTCAATACCATACACTAACATAATTTTATAGAATTTTCCTAGGTGCTAAAATTGAATGGGGTCATAGTCAATTAGCCAATACTAAAAGTCAAAAATCTATTTGGCTTACCCAAAAAGGGTAAAAATGATTGGGTGTAGTTAAAACCTCTGATAAGAAAACAGGCCAAAAAGAGGATTCGCAGAAAGTAGAGATCCAAAATTGAGAAGTAAATTAAAAAAAAACCCTCTTCACTAAAATACTTCCGGTCTCTCTCTCTCTCCCTTCCCTTCCCTCGAAGGTGGCGATTCGCATATCCATGGTGGACAGAAACCCTAGCCTTATGCTGCCACTAATTATCACTCGTCACTGTTGAATTGGGATGGAATCGGAGAAAATA